ATTAAAAATATAGTAAATTATAACCTTCTTTTCTCTATTTATTAATTTTATAAATTTATAAAAAAATCTAGTAAGCTAAATTAAATATTAAATCTATTAGAAATTAATCGAAAATTATTTAAACGCCTAAATTATAATTTTAATTTATAATTATTTTTTATTATTTAATCTTAAGTAAATAGTTAATCTATTTTTTAAGAAATATATAATATTAATATAAAGAAGTAGAGCGTAAATTAATATCTAATAAATTAAATTTTAACGAATCTTAATATTTTAAAAAAGCTTAAAAGAATATTTCTAATAATATTACTTTTTTTTAGAAGATTAACATTTATCTAGTATTAAAATATTTTTATTTTAAAGCTATTTAATTTATAATATAAAAAAATCTTTTTATACTAATCGCTAATATTAATATATATAATAGTTTTTTAAATTTTAATATAATTAATAATATAATAACTAGAATAATAATAAGAAATATTATATTTTTATTAGAGTTATTAATAGATTAATTATACTTATTTAAACTTAGTTTTTATTTTCTTTATTACTTTAACTTTTTTAAAATTTCTTATTTATTAAAATAACTCTAATATTATCTAGAAGTTTTTTTAAAATTAATTAAATAATATATATTATATAGAGAATATATTATAAATAATTTAAGAACTTAAATTCTTTAATATTAAGCGAGTTATTTATTAAAGAAATAAAAAGATAAATAATTAAATTATTAAAGAGTATATTATTATTATTAATATTATTAATTATAAATCTAAATATATAAATTTAAATTTTAAATTTTATAAAAATTAGATTAATAATACTTATAAGTTTCTAATTAATATATTTATCTTCGATATACTTAAAGTCTATAAAAATCTTATATTATTATTAATTAATATTAATAAAAAAGATTAAAATTATTATAAATAATTAATAATTATAAAATAATTAATAATTTAGAGCTAAAGAGACTTTAATATTATCGATTAATAAATTCTTTAATAATCTTATCTTTAGCTTTATAGTTTTTTTTATTAACTAATTCTTTATAATAAATATTAATTATAATTATATATTAAAATCGAGATAGTATAAGAATTATAATATTTTAGAATTATTAATAATTATAAATAAAATATCGATATTTATAATTTAGTAATAAAATTATTTTAAGAAATCTTCGCGTATAAACTTTCGATTTTCTAATATTATAAGAAAATTTTAATATTATTTTTTCTAGAGTAAATAGTAAGCTAGATATTTTATTTATTATTTTATTTATTAATAATCTATATCGTCTAGTTTAGAAATATATCTAATTTTTATAATTATTAATTAAATTCGTTTATTATAAATTACTTAAATTAAATTTCTTAATATATATCTTAAATTTAATATATACTATTATATCGCTTATTTTATAATCTATAAATAAATAAATTAGAATCTTATTATAGTAATAATAAAAAATATATAACTTCTCGAAATCGATAAGCGTATATTTATTAAAATATATTTATTTTTAGAATTTTCTAATTTTTAAGTCTTAATAAATAGATTAATAATTGCTATTAGATTTAAACTAATTCTATATAACTTATATTATTTTTATTTATTATTATATTTTTTATTTTTTATTATTAATATTAAAAAGAAAGTAAAATTTATTATTATCTTTATATTAAAATATATTTATTAATATCTTATACTAAGTATCGTTAATTAAGAAAGTTAAGTTTACGCTAAATAAAGATTTAATTAATATCTTAAAATTAAGATATTTAAAAAAGAAAATAAAAGAGATATATAAATAAATAAAATATTAGAAATAAAATAAGATTAATATTTAATATATAAATTCTATCTTCTTATTATAATAAAAACTTATATCGCTTTAATAATATATCGCTATATTATTCTTAATATTTTAAATTAAAAATTAATTCTTTTTAATTAATATTATAATTAATAATTATATATTTAAAAATATATAATAACGCTAATATAGAATTAATATTTAATTTAATTAATTTAAAACTCTAATTAGCTTTAGTATTAACGCTTCTTTATTTAATATAATATATACTTTATTCGCTTTAATATTAATACTTATTTATTATTATATTATTTTAATTATTAAAATTAGAAATTATATTTATTTAATTAATATTTTAATCGCTAATTATATTAATAAGAGTATATATTAATATTTTAAAATTATTAAAATTATTTTATTAGATATTAATATAGAATTAAAATTTAATTTAAGCGCTTTAATAATTTAATTAACTAAATTAATTATTATCTAAATCTTCTATATATAAAAATTAAATCTTTTATTATATTAAGATTATTCGTAAATATTAAAATCTTTCTTATTAATATAACTCTCTTTTATTTAAATAATATTATAATATCTTTTATTTAAATATTAAAATATTAAAATATTATATTTTTCGCTTTTAATTAAGCGATATTATCTTTAAATCGATATTTTTAATTTTATAAAAATAATAATTAGTTTATTATAGACGAAGGCGAAAAAGAAATAATATCTTCTTTTATTTTTATAATAGAAGAAGAGAAGAGAGTAAATAAATTAATTATAAGTTATAAACGATTTAATATTTAAGAATAATAAATTAATAAAGTTATAATATTAGAATAAAGAGTCTTTTTTATAATTAATAAATATAAGATTAAATAGAAATTAATTAAATTAATAAGATTATCTTTAATAGATATATCGCGTATATAAAGAATATCGAAATATATAAAATATAAAAGGGGGTATATATATATAGCTATAGATATTTAAAGTATATTTAAAATATAGAAAGAAGCGCTTATATATAGCTCTACGATATATATTAATAATAAAAAAATTAATCTTTTTTTCTAATTAGCTTTTTAATTAATATTTAAATTTAATTTATTTTTAAATAGTATTTTATTTTAATAAGATTTTAGTTATATAATATTAATTAGCTTAATAATAAATATTTAATATTATTATTTTCTAATTTACTCTCTTCTTTTTAAAAATTCTTTTTATTATTATAGTATTTATATTATAATATACTTATTTATTATAATATTATTTATATTTAAAAAAAAAAAATTATTTTCTCTATACTCTATAATTAAATTAAATTAATAATATTATTTTTATAAAGTAAATATATATTTAATAGCGCTATATCTCTTAATATAATAATTAATTATAATATTAATTATAATTTATTAATATATAGTATTATTATCTACTAAAGCTATTAACTTAATAATTATAAAAATTTAGAAAATTCTTAATAATTTATTAATTATTAATTTAGATTTATTTAAATTATTAAAGTAAAGTAAAAATAAGATTACTAATCGAAAAGATATAATATATTTTATAAAATATTTTATATTAAGTAATATTATATCGTATTTAAGTATAATATAAGTAGAATTAAATATTATTTCATTTTTCTAATATAAATTCGAGATCTTAGTAAAATATTTTATAATATAATATATCTATGAAATTATATTATAATATAAGATATATATAAGATATTTTAATTAAGATTTCTATATTTAGAAGTATAAGTAATTATTCTAGTTATTATTCTAGTTAACTATAACTATTATTACTATAGCTATTACTTTTATAACTATTACTATTATAACTATTACTATTATAACTACTATATAATAATAAACTATTTTAATAATAAATAATAATAGCTATAATAGTAGTAGCTATAATAGATAGTTATAATAGTAATAGCTATAATAGATAGCTATAATAGTAATAGTTATAATAGATAGTTATAATAGTAATAGCTATAATAGTAATAGCTATAATAGTAATAGTTATAATAGTAATAGTTATAATAATAATAGCTATAGTAGTAATAGTTATAATTAACTAGAATAATAACTAGAATAGCTACTTATACTTCTAAATTAATAATCTAGATAAGAATTTTTTCTTATTATTTTAATATATTACTAGTATTTAGAATCTTATTTTTAAGCTCTAATTTAAGTTTAATTAAGAAGAAATTAGCTTAATACTTTTTAGAAAATAGAGATAAATAGATCTTTAACTTCTTTAAATAGATCTTAAAAATAGATATCTTCTAATCGAAGTGTTATTTAATCTTCTTCTATTTTTTATAGATAAGAAGATAATAATTTACTAAATCCGCTATTAAATTAAGTAGAAATTACTTAAAAAAATTTAAAAGTTATATTCTCTAAATTATCTATTTTATTAGATATTAAGATTATCTTTTAAGAATTATATATAATAAATAATTCTTATTTAATTAGTAATAAAATACTTAAAATTTATAAAGAACTTAATTTTAACTTCGCGAAATTAGCGTAAATACTTTTTCTTATTAATATCTTTATAAAGATATATTCTTTTAAAGCGAAGTATTTTTATTTTAATTAATAAATTTATTAAAAGCGCGATAATAATTAATATAGATAAGCTTTCGCTAATTATAGATAATAAGCTAATATTATAAAGCTCGCGATTATAAATCTTTAATATAATTAATTCTTATTCTTATTCTAGACGACGATTTTCGATCTTAGCGATTATAAGACGTTATTTTATAGTAAAATCTTTTAACCGCCAAATGTACGCAGAAGCCAAATTCGTGGTAGATAGCTGTAGGTTAGCTGTAGATTCGTCTAAATATGAAGCCGTGTATAGTCCAATTGCCGAAGAACTTGATGTAGCTTTTTTTAGACCTCCACAGCCACGCTGTCGCTGTCGCTATATCATCGCAATGCTTTCCCAATATTGCTAGTAGTGCTTCATTCAGTGCTTCCAGTACCATTCTCAGTACTACTCCCAGTAGTGCTCTGTCCAGTACTCCCAGTAGTGCTCTGTCCAGTGATCCCAGTAGTACTCCCAGTAGTGCTCTGTCCAGTGGTCCCAGTAGTAGTGCTCTGTCCAGTGCTCTGTCCAGTGGTCCCAATTATGCTCTGTCCAGTGGTCCCAGTAGTACTCTATCCAGTACTCTCAGTAGTACTGCTCTGTCCAGTGCTCTGTCCAGTAGTCCCAGTAGTGGTCCCAGTAGTGCTCTGTCCAGTGGTCCCAGTAGTAGTGCTCCATTCAGTGCTTCCAGTACTACTCTCAGTACTGCTCCCAGCAGTGCTCTGTCTAGTAATCTCAGTAGTGCTCCCCGTAGTGCTCCCCGTAGTGCTCCCAGTAGTGCTCTGTCCAGTACTCTCAGTAGTAGTGCTCTGTCTAGTGGTCCCAGTAGTGCTCCCAGTAGTGCTCTGTCCAGTGGTCCCAGCAGTGCTCTGTCCAGTGCTCCCAGTAGCAGTGCTCTATCCAGTGCTCCCAGTAGTAGTGCTCCATTCAGTGCTTCCAGTACTACTCTCAGTACTGCTCCCAGCAGTGCTCTGTCCAGTGATCTCAGTAGTGCTCCCCGTAGTGCTCCCAGTAGTACTCTGTCCAGTACTCTCAGTAGTGCAGTGCGCTATCCAGTGCTCTCAGTACTACTTCCAGTACTAAGAGCAATTGACAGAGCACTACGGAGAGTAGTACTGGAAGTACTGGATAGCGCACTACTGGGAGCAACTGGACAGAGCACTACTGGAAGTAGTACCGGGAGCACTGGACATAGTATGTAGGTAGGTAGGTGCGCAGTAGTGTAGGTAGGTAGGTAGGTAGGTGGCCGCGCAGCAATGTAGGTAGGTAGGTAGGTAGGCAGGCAGGTAGGTGGGTAGGTGGGTAGGTGGGTGGGTGGCTGGCAGGCAGGCAGTGCAGGCAGGCAGGCAGGTAGGTAGGTAGGCAGGTAGGTGGGGTGGGTGGGTGGGTGGGTAGGTAGGTGGGTAGGTAGGCAGGCAGGTAGGCGCAGCAATGTAGATAGGTGCGCAGCAGTGTAGGTAGGTAGCTATCTGCATTGCTGCGCAGCTACCTATCTACCTTACTACATGCAGCTACCTACCTACCACCCACCTACCTACCCTACCACCCTACCTACTGCTACCTACTGCGCTGCCACCCACCTACCCACCCACCTACCTACCCACCCACCTGCACCTACCTACCTACCTACCTCCACTGCTGCGCAGCTACCCTACCTACCTACCTACCTACCTACTTTACTGGGACCACTGGACAGAGCACTGGACAGAGCACTGGACAGAGCACTGGACAGAGCACTACTACTGAGACCACTGGACAGAGCACTACTGAGAGCACTACTGGGACCACTGGACAGAGCACTACTACTGGAAGCACTGGACAGAGCACTACTGGGAGCACTGGATAGAGCACTACTACTGGGACCACTGGACAGAGCACTACTGAGAGCACTACTGGGACCACTGGACAGAGCACTACTGAGAGCACTACTGGGACCACTGGACAGAGCACTGCTACTGGGAGCACTGGACAGAGCACTGCTACTGGGAGCACTGGACAGAGCACTGCTGGGACCACTGGACAGAGCACTACTGGGAGCACTACTGGGACCACTAGACAGAGCACTACTACTGGAAGCACTGGACAGCGCACTGCTGGGAGCACTGGATAGAGCACTACTACTGGGACCACTGGACAGAGCACTACTGAGAGCACTACTGGGACCACTGGACAGAGCACTACTACTGGAAGCACTGGACAGAGCACTACTGAGAGCACTACTGGGACCACTAGACAGAGCACTACTGAGAGTACTACTGGGACCACTGGACAGAGCACTACTACTGGGACCACTGGACAGAGCACTACTGAGAGCACTACTGGGACCACTGGACAGAGCACTAGACAGAGCACTGGACAGAGCACTACTACTGAGAGTACTGGACAGAGCACTACTGGGAGCACTACTGGGACCACTAGACAGAGCACTACTACTGGAAGCACTGGACAGCGCACTACTGGGAGCACTGGATAGAGCACTACTACTGGGACCACTGGACAGAGCACTACTGAGAGCACTACTGGGACCACTGGACAGAGCACTACTGAGAGCACTACTGGGACCACTGGACAGAGCACTGCTACTGGGAGCACTGGACAGAGCACTGCTACTGGGAGCACTGGACAGAGCACTGCTGGGACCACTGGACAGAGCACTACTGGGAGCACTACTGGGACCACTAGACAGAGCACTACTACTGGAAGCACTGGACAGCGCACTGCTGGGAGCACTGGATAGAGCACTACTACTGGGACCACTGGACAGAGCACTACTGAGAGCACTACTGGGACCACTGGACAGAGCACTACTGAGAGCACTACTGGGACCACTGGACAGAGCACTGCTACTGGGAGCACTGGACAGAGCACTGCTACTGGGAGCACTGGACAGAGCACTGCTGGGACCACTGGATGTTCCTGCTTTGCATTACTGGCTAAACTTTGAAAGAAACTCTTGTTAAGGATGACCTTGAAGGCTAATAAGACACGTTGCTTCGGCTGACAGCTCTGATTGGTTGTGTTTCGGTACGAGTAACTTCACGTGGTCTGAATGTACCGATTTAATACCGGCCAAGGGTTTGTTGGCAGGGTTTGAGATGTTGATATCAGTGTCGGCTGCTCAGATCCTGGAGATGAATCGCATGAACGAGCCAAGCAACCATCAATTAAAACAGTTCTGCGGTCTTTAGCAAGGTGCTGGACAAGTATCTGCCAGAGACCTTCTCCTTGTCCATCGTGCAACCCAGTAAGTCGTTGGCAGGTCTCCCGACCTCAATCAAAGAACTTCTGATGTTGATACCAATGCAAAGCGCACTCAGCAACTGTACCCAGAGCATAATTGGATTGTTGCCAAGCTATTTGAATGATCTTGGTAGGCCCGTAACCCTCAGGTCCCAGACGTCTGAAGTCTCACTAGCAGATGCTGCGACACATTAATCGCTGTCCGAATAGGGATCACAGAAGATGGAGACGACTTTATTGAGAGCTGCGCTACATGTGGTGGCATGTCTCCGTAGGGGACTGGCGCTAGCCCCGCTTTTACTTTGACTCTCTAGTCTTTTACATACCACGCATACGCCCGTTTCTTGTTGAAATGAGGGTTTGGCGATGTCTGATGTGACAATAGCCTACCATCTCAAGCTTGCCTTCGCCCAAGCTGATTTTTTCAGGCAACAAGGGCCGAACAATATGAAGAAGAGGCTTTGACCTGTCTCTTTCGCCAGCACCGTCGTTTCTGACTCCGTTCGTGGCGCTTGCGCCGGACCTCAAGCAGGCAGTTTTCTTCTTCCTTCCAAATGTCCCTTCGTAGAGATCCGTCGTTCTCACTTGCACCTCTTCTACTACACTTTCTCCGACTCCGAGTCTCTTCACCCATCCAAAGTATTTGAAAGTCAAATCTATCCAGACCTTATCACAGATGCTCTCGTAGCATCTTGCTCCTCGGGTTTACGACCTACTGCTTGCACTTGGAGTAAAGAGGAAGTGTGCGACCTCTTTGCCACATACAATCATGACCGATCTTCTCGCCTCGGCCATCACGAATAGAAACTCCAAGATGCTCTGTCTTTCAGCAACATCCACAGCACTGTCCAATATTCCGCTAACGATTTCGCTTCCTCTGCTCTCCTACTCCTCTCAAGGGCGTCTCACGAGTATCTCTGGGCCGGGAGAGTCCTCGCTGACGAGACGGCATCGCATTGAACGGGGGTGTTCTCGATTCGGGCTGAATTTTCAATTCCGAACACGCAGGCCTATCTATCGTGAAGTTTCCTGCAACCGATCCATTCCCATGCAGGTGGACAGGCTTAGTCTAAAGGAACAGTGCGAAATCTTCTATGATAGGTCCCCAGTCTGGGAGAATGAACAACTAGGTGTTAATCAGGGCTAGCGCTTGTCGATACGTATGAGCCCCTGCATCTCCAGTATCAAGGGTCGCATTGCTAATGAATCCAGCCTTCAACACGTCGCAGAGCATGACACGCTCAGGGGCGAGCTCAGCATCCCTTGGGCCGATGGATTGTCTTACCGGGATAACCATTGGAAGGAGCGTTTCTTCGTGCGCGGTCTTGCATTTATCCGTCAACTTGAGACCGCATCTACCTACGCTGATCGCTGCATGCTTCTCGATTGGGAGTCACTGCACGAAGACCTCTCTACTTGGAAAGGTTTGATGGAACAAGTGGCAAGGGTTTCTTTCAGAGACTACATCTCGGAGGCAAGAGACAACGTACTGAATTCATCAAGTGCCGGTGACACCGACGCAGGTCCCAAAAATGGATGGCTGTGGGCATACGAAGATAGCTTATTTCTTGACTATAAGCTGTTTAACGGCCACAAAATCCTTCGTGAATGGGGTTTTGTTCTATGGGACTCCGCCAGATGGGAACAATCGGGGTTTTGAACACAGACTGGCACGAATGGAGCGTGAAAAATCGGACAAGAGGAACGCGACCGTCAAGAGCGCGGGAACCGCTGTGAAGAATGGATCGCTTCAGGAATAAGAGTTTCCAAACATGGGGCGCTGGAGGCCGCGGATAGTAGGTGCTGTGATCGTGTTCAATGGCCAGCGGAAACAAAGCTTGGCTGAGAGCATGCTCAGGGATCGACATCTACATCCGGTGAAACAGGCCAGAGGCTCCAAGGATTCACAACACCTGGCAAAGTACCCGTGAAGTCAGCAAGAACGAGTAAACATTCCCCACGAGCGGACGATGTGCCCACGAACCTGGAATGTCGCAGAATGTATATTTTTTCACCCGTAGTTATCGACCTCTAGTTTCATAAACGGCGGCTATCCAGCATATGCAAAGCAGCCAAGTCTGCAAGCTAGCGTAGCATTCCTCCGGCATCCTTGATGATTGGTTCAATCTTTGCATCCCCACGGCTGTCGCAAGGTCCTTGAAAGTACCTGGAGCTTGCGGCGCTTAGAGTGTTCAAGCGCCTTTGTGATTGTGTGCGCTTAATATAGAGGGTCTGTACATGCGCGAGACGTTCGACAAAATCTCGAAACAGAGACGCATGATTGATAGGCTCTCAATGATGCGCCTCTGGTCCCTCGAAGCCGCCTCCCATAAAGCAATCTGTTATCTCGAGGTGGTTTGGTCTACATCTGTTTTCGCAAACGCATTTTTCTTGTTCCTCATTCTTTTATCCCTCTACCTGCGACGCTGAGACGATAAATCTTGCGCAATGCTTCTCCAAAGTGTCTTCTACTTGACTGCATCACTATACCTATGCAGCGCCACGCCATTGACCTCGCCCCCTCAAACTTTGGTCCCACGAGACGCTGTCACTGACTGCCAAAACGTGACACTCGGACTCAACGCATCATGCTGGGATCTGATTCCTCGCGGTACAGGCATGGAGTCCTGGTTAAACACATGGAACAGCACAACGACCACCTGTGAGCCCGGCGAGCGATGGGCAAACTGTTTTATGCGCCAGGCTGGTGTTACCACCAACACCACAACGTCGATACGTTGCGACCTGATAGGACCTAATACTTGCCCTGAGCCAAGTATAGATGTGTTCGAGAGCGCATCTGCCGAGGCGAGCTACGGGGTGGCTAGTATCTGGGGTAAGCATGGAAGCCAAGACATTTGATGTATGAAGAGGGGGAGCTGACGACGGTTGCAGCACTGCAACAATACATGACGACCCTCTACCAGTTCCTCGAAGGAGATCAAGGCCTGTCACTGATAAATACCGGGTTCCTAAACCAGACAGCTCCCAGAAGCGCCAAGACCATTCTCGTGAACATTCTCGACGAGATTGGAGATCCGGTAGCCACTCAACTAACAACGATCATCGGATCGCCTGTTCCCATAAAGCAGGGGAGTTTCATTATCCCGACCCAAGCTCAGGCGCAGCAGATTGTCGGGCAAACCGTTGGTAATCTGTTGCAATGGCTGATGACGGATTGGTTGGAGGGTGGATTTACGGCTCTGGCTATCGAAGGGAACTTGATTTCCATTCTTGGAGACTAGAGGGAGTTGCATTGCTAGGCTAATTCTAAAATTGAGCGGACTAGATGGATCTGAGTTGAGTCTCAAAAAGTCTGCCTCCATTTTCTGCACAAGGAATGCAACGCACCGCAACGCATTGTCTATTTTCGTATCCAAGTTTCTCGGATATGCATGGCGAATTATAGTATTCATATGAGTAGCAGAGATTAAGAATTGGCGTCCGAGGCCGAAAATATGTTCTGTTGTAAGGCTAAATTGAAGCGTCGAATCAAGAGTGCAGATCAACGTTCAACGCTTATAGAAAAAGTTCAGACTCTTTGGTAATCCCGCAGGAGCAATATCTTTTGCGTCATCTACTTCTTTTTGTTTGTTTCTCCACAAAAAGAATTCTCACTAGCGGGTGATCACTTCGCAATTTTGAGTTCCTTCACAATGCTCTGCAGTACGCTTCGGATATTCTCTGGTTCGAGTGGTCACAAGAGCGCTATGACCAAACACAAAGGGGCCGCAGGTCTCTCACTGCTGTTCAGCGAGAACGCTAGCCAACAAGAAAGCCTCGCAACGGGCCGGTCTACTACTTTTGTATAGCGCGTCATAGTTATCCAGGGTATCAGGCGTTGTTTCTTACTTGGAGTCTTCGAAGGCGTACAGCATTCATGGACAGCCCGATTCGAGCTCTTATACAGAAAGGTCCCAACACAGGTGGCTGCGCTAGGTCTCGAAGCATTCTACGATGCCGCAGTAGAGGCCTGTCTGTACCCAATTAATCTACACATGATATCACGCACGGTTGCCGTGGTGCTCTTGCTTTCGACATTTATTCTCGGAAGCCCTTCGGGATCCCATGGGCGATAGTCGCGGGCTTTTTTAAAAGGGATGAAAAGGATGGCGGCAGATGGACTGGAGTGTACTTTCAGTGGGGAATTGATGCCCGTCATCGTCGATGGTCTTACTGGCTCGATCTTTTGGGTCTCTTTGAGGGTAAGGGGGTTCCATAGTCCACAGGGTCTATCGAATGGGGTCTGGTCTAAGCTTCACGAAATCTCCACCCAGGAAGTTGATCCTTTCAGAATCCGACACCCAAAGTTCCTCGGAAGGCTCCGCAGCCATGTATGCATTGTGTACGACGGGTTCGAAGATGCAGTGGGGATGGCAACATACAGCTTGCTTTCACTATGCCGCCCGTGATGATATTATACACACGTAGCTTCACACACAATCAATGTCACTCGAATCAGCAATTCTACGTACTGTTTGGTGTGCGTTCCATTCGAGAAGGGTACGCTCTCCGTCTGAACCGTGTCTGGTGGGTATCCGACGAGAGCCGAGCTGATTGTTCAATGAAAACTGAAGCACGAAACAGACTGGGCGGTAACGCGCCTTTTTCACAGCAGTGTTTGCATCAACTCACAGAATGATTGGTTTTGGGGACAGATGATGGAGCGCCGTGAATCCGAAAACAAAATCTACGATGTTTCAGAAATAAGGCTGAAACCTGATTGAGGCGCCGCTTCTCTTCTCACACGAAACAAAACATACGTTGCGCATATCTTAGTGATGAAACTGTATCAAACCCTAATATCAGGCTTGCAATGACAATGGAGATGAATCGAAAGATCGAGGGGAGGTTCGGAGCGAATCACTTGCTGCTATAGCTAAAGACATGATGGGTTTCAGCTTATGGAGTACATGGCCGAGGCCGACGTGCTTGGTTTGATTGTTCGTTTCATGGTCTAATTCACTGGGTGTTAACACTGACAGGCGTTATGTCCTCTCTGTATCAGGCCTGCTTTGCATACAAAACGTGGTCCACATCCTGTTATTCATGCAGCTCATCATATTCACTACAATTCTAGACTCTCAATAGCAAATTGCAAGAACAACGGCTTGATTATGAATCTCTTCCACGTCATCATCTCTCTCCTAGCGTCATCTGTCGCCCTCGCAGGCCACATCACGCGCTCGGCCGACCTAACACTGTGAATACCATCTACCCTCGTCGAGGAATATTCGTGCTGAACACCTATTTAGGGAACCCGTAGTAGAAACCCCGTATGGGTATATTCCAGATGGGCTCCCAGACACCGACCCCACCCCAAATAGCTGCTGGACAGCACCAAATGGGATCGTCTCTGGCTCTGCTTACAGCCCCGGTATATGTCATATCTGTGTCAATCAGAACGGTACTGGCCTTAACTCCTGGTTCGGAGCCTGGGCACGGGATGCGAGCAACTTCGCCATGGAAGTTACACCCGCCGTAAACCTCGGACCCGAGACAGCGAATGAGAGCCTATATAGCTTCAACGCTGGTCCTGAGCATCTCACCGTAGCCATCCGTCACAATAAATTACCTAGCAAAGCATCTAGCGTATCTCTGTTGCTGGGAAAGCCACCGGCGCCACAGATGTCCTTGGACCCTGCGACACACGAGAACTCAACGAGCTGCAATGCCGTCCAGGATGCACAAGACAGTACAGAGACTAAAGCTCAATGCTACTTCCTTTGCGAAGCTTCGGATGCCTCCAAGGGCGCAAATAGCCGACGTACCCAAAATACGGCATCTTCAAGCAGCGACTCTCGTGTTAACGAGCATTCATCCGTTTCTCATCCGCGCTCAGCGCCAGTAGGGAAGCGTCATTCTGCTGCATCATTGTAAGAACTTCGGTGCATGTTTCTCTGCTTGGACTAAAGATAACCCCAGAAATTCTCCTCCAGCCGAGAAAAACGGCGTGCTCCCCAACGGTACCGTCATCAACCCTAATCCCGAAAACAACCCAAACGCTACCAAAAGCCCACAAAGCTGCTGGACAAAGCCCGTCGAACCTGTCGTCCCCATGGCTAAGGACAGTTTCTCCCCAGGCCTCTGTCAAGTCTGCGTGACACAATGGGGCTTTGGACAAGCCCCACAATACCAAGTCTGGATTCGCGATGCTCTCAACCATGCGATGGGCGAAATGGATGCAACCACACTCGCAACACTCAATTACAATACTGATGATCCCACCAGCCTCACCATACCCGCCGGAACCAAGTCTCTCAACATTTGGCCCATGGAGAGCCAAGGGATTAACGGTTCTGGAGGTGTGGAGTTTTACAATTACTCTAGGGTATACATGGTGTGGCAGGTACCGTCAGATTTTATGGTAGAAACAATGGTGTTCGACCCTGGGTTAGAGTTAGGGCTACAGGGCAGTAACTGTAGCTTATCCGGAAGCACACAAGGTGGCGCGGTGACTTACTTTCAGTGCCACTTCGAGTGCCCCAAGGAGGAATCTATGAAAGGGAACCATTCTTCGAGGGCAACCCATTCTATGAAAGCGATCCGCTATTAGTAAGATGATTGAGGCTCGTCATGTCTTCGAATTGTTTTGTCTTTGCACTTGTGTACCTTAGCTCGATCAAACAGCTGCAAATTAGTCGGCATTGACTACTTCACTTTAATCGCTGTTGTCGCCATTGCTTTGAACTTGAGATAAATCCGTTCCATCAGTGCTACCTGCAGCTTTTCTCCATTCGGTCCCATCTCACGCGGACTTGCAGCCATAAGTGCTCATCACTTCAATCAACAATCTCGACAGGTTTCAAGGGGCAGATGAGACTTGTTGAGTGCGAACAAGCCTTGACCACCGAGGTTCCCAGATCCTCGCGTTTCTTCCCGTCCACGAGTCTGTACTTGTGACTTTTGTAATAAATCTTCACCTCACGCTTGCAGATCCGGATCAGCTGGTTTTTGTACGCTTGCATTACGTCTGCTCCAAGCTCTCCGGCGATATTCCGCCAATTGTGAGTTTTGGCAGTTTAACTTCAAAGGGCATACATATTCTAAACCGGAAAATTTCAGCTAGGAACGATTTCCATAGAGCTGAGAATGATAAGCTCGCTGCTGTTCGGGGTGCGTCATACGCACGGGAAGGTTTCAATGGTCACATGGACATACCATTGGTCCACATGGCCATATCATATCTATTTCAAGGTACTAGGGTCTTTTTGCCACAGATTTTTGCTACTATCTCTACATTGAAAAACATCTTGATAGAGATAGATAATCTACTACCTATTAACAACTACGTCGCGATAGAAATGTGTTTTATCCAAGCCATTGCTACCCGTCTCCTCCATAGCCAACTCAGCAGCATTGCGATCAAAGCAGTTACACTGTATAAGCTGATCTCCGTATACCTCCAGATCATGCAGCTGTAGCGTTCCGTCAGTATTGATAGTCTTGCTGAGTACGATTGTCTACTCAAGCTCCTTGTCGTCTCTGCTTCCCACTGGACATTATATATTCTTTGTCAGTTTCACGCCAACTCTCTCCAACTCTCTCTCCTCAATCAGCTCTCTAGCAACTGGTCACGTCCCTACACCCACGCAAGGCCGAGATGGACTTCTGAGTACTTAGTGTTCAGAATGGGCATGAATCTCACAAAGGCATGGCATCGCGACTTCCACCTCAAACAAACAAAGACAGACAAACGTTCGATGTCTTAGATTATTACAAAACAGTGTCAAACAGAATTCAGGTGTCTGAATTTCAATGGAAATGCTCTAAGGATCACCTCGACAGTGGCCGGTAACTTGCTGATCAAGGTGGAAACATGAAGTGTTTCAGCTCCTTCGGTACGAGGCAAAGCCAAACAATTCTGTATAAGCAGTTGTTTCACTGCACGAGTCACTAAACAATGGCAAGGTAACAGGATAGGCAGTAGATCTCTCAGCATGTATAGTTGCTCATCTTCCACCACTTATGTAGCTCGTGATAATCACCACCGTTCTTGAGGTGCCTATTCTAATTTTGAACAACCAAGCCTACCATTATGAAATGCGCCTACTTCTTTGCGCATATCCTAGCGCCTTTCATCGCCTTCGCACATCCATCGGTAGATCACCATAAACACGAAGGTTCAGTGGGAAGTGGGCGGAGGCCGCTACCGCAATTAAGTAGCTCGAAACTGATCACAGATGGCCCATTCCCAGACGGCACGATCATGAACTCCGCTCCCAACTGGAACTCTTTTGATAACAGCTGCTGGACAGAACCAAACATACAGCTTTCCCCCCCTCAGACGCAGAATACGAATCCGACACATGTCAAACTTCTGTCATACAGAGTGACATTGGATTCAAGGCTTAGTACGCAGCTGGCATCCGCGACGCTAACAACATCACCGCGGGAAATATGCCCGCTATCTTCCTCGGGCCCGAAACAAGTGTAGGGAGATCACGGACCTTTATGCTATCAAAGGATGTTGCTTCCCAAACCGATGCTCTAGAAGGTACTGTTGCGTACTTCAAACTTACTTTCAATGTGGGCTTGCTTTTGATCTGAATTACCAACGTACGCTAGAAGTATCTGAGGAACGCAATCTACCAACGTAAGCACTCTCAACCTCGTTCCTCCGTTCCTTAACCAATGCAAAATTTTAAAGCCTCTCTTCCATCGAAAAAAGCGCCATACTCCTCAACGGCACTGACACCATTATCGACCCTAATCTAACAATAACGCAAAAGCTACACCACTCCACCTTCACCTCGTTCCCAATATCGCCGGCGTTACCATCCACACCCACTAAGACGCTGGCGAGAGCTCTAACGTATCAATCATCATTTACACCAAGGAATATTGCGAAAGGGATGGCTTCAATGAAGGGGACATAGGTTACAACATCGAGAACTGGCGACAGATGAGGTCTTACCACTTGAGTGCCAATCTTAATGATGACCATGAGGTGCTAAATATTGGGGTTGGTGAGGTTTGGGACGCTACAGGCGGAAGCCGGTTGATCCGAGGTTGAATATCGACATCAACGCTGCTTGTGCAATTTCCGCATACCTCTTAATGAGTAGTGCTACAAAGAAACTGTGTCCCACACTTCAGAATGTTGTGGGATGCATGATAATTACTATCACATAAGGCCAACGGACGTGGGCACAAAGAGACTGCTCATGGTGGTCACAAGCAGTACTGATGGATGATTTGATGAGGCGAGCGACTGTTGCCATATCTGGGCCAATCGTCTTCGAAGCAAGCAGTCGCTTTTGTGGAATCTCAGAGGAATTTGTCGAGAGAGGGGAAATCCAAATTATTCCTCTATTTGCACCGCAGTGAATCGGGTTAAGCCCGTTGGCTTTGCTAATCTCATACCTGCACCGTTGACGTTCACCGACACCATGCACTGTCAAGTCTCTTGTAACCTATACAGAGAGTTCACACTTCTGCACCTGTCGCAAAACTTCTCTACGAAAGGAAAACTGAGTTTGCGAACTCGGTTGTCGACTTGGAGCAATGCGCCGCGAAGAAACTGATTCCTTTGGGGCCTAGCCTGTCCAGGTTGTGGACTGCGGATTTGGACAGCCAGAGCGTAATTGGTTGTCCTACAGCTTGCCGAATCGGGAGGCAGCGATATTAGTGAGCCCACTATTCTCACCTTGTGCAATCGGTAATTTGTTATTCCACTGGTGTTGTCACATGGCTTGTGGACTTTTCTTGACCACGCAGTTTCAGAGAGATCAGAAATTCTCCTCCTCAGCGGATGATCTAAACAAAGTACTACTTCTTTCATGGGAGCGGGTGCGCATAACCCCACGCGTGAAAACTAACCAGTCGCTGGTGCATAATTGTACAAGACAGCAAGTGGAAGCAAAGTGATCGATCCAAGCCCCACGCAAACACGTCGGCGCTTAGTAAACGCAGGCTGGTAAGGCCAAACACGTGGCCTGATCCTGCAGGCACGTGAGCTTGGAGATGCATAACGCCAGCAACGGTTGCATGCACAGAACATCGTTAAATGGTCAGATTGGCGAGGGGAATTATACATTACATGTCCTCGATGTTCCAGAAGTAACTTATTGAAGAGCAAAAGGTTCGAAAAGCGTTTCTTACTCATTCCTCCGACTCGCGAAGCAAAAGCCCTGCGCGCTAGTAAGGAGAGAAATCCGGACACATCCGTACAACCGCCTCGCGCAAGAAGACTTGTGGCTGCGGATGCGCCGAGCCTTGCGCTTACCGTTCTTGCCCTGTACCCATCCGTGGAATAAGAGTGGGGGAGTCCCAGGTTGGAAGACCTGCAGGAATGAGGTCTGAAGTGATGTCTTCGCACGCGCTGAATCTCTTTGTACTTGGATGCATGCTTCAATTTCTGCTGCTTCAAAATTCCTTGGTTCACAGCGCCGTCATTTCGCGATTCCTAAACACGGCAATCACAAACGCGACAGTGGGCTATCATCCGGCATACTGTAGCGACAATGAAGGTTGGGTTGGAAATGGAATAGTTCAAAGTGACTGCGCAGAAGCAATCATGGAGCTTTACAGAACGAATGTCTCGCCGCGAGGAAGACAGAAATACGAATTCCTCACCCGCGGAGTGCCGCGGACTTCTCATTTGCCCTACATAGTAACGCCTAGGAAGCATGATTATGGTGAGCAATCAGAGTTCGGCATAAGCAGTCATTTTTTCTGAATTGGACCGTCATAATAGGGACGTGTGTCATCGTCATTGCAATGCTAGATACTTTCTATCCCGGAATCCTACCAGGTCTCAGGCCACAGCAGTGTGCACAATCTGATATAGCTACCTTCAACCAGATATACGATGTAGCCGTGAGCTTGTCTTCAGAATGTGTGAAGAAGAAATTGGACCCTGAAGCCGGCTGGTCTTCTGCAGGTAGGGGCGCACTGCTGGCTGCTTAATTCACCTGCGTTTCGACTTGCACTTTGGGGCGCACCGAGAAACTGCTGATTCTTGCTCTACTGAATAGGAGCGATGGCTAGCATCGGGGTATTCATTCTCAGACGGGGCTCAGACCTAGACAAAGTTCTGCGGAGCAGTGCGCCTATGACCACATCGATCAACAATGAAACATCACTTCTAGGCTTGGTCGAGCTTCCTAGACCCTCAGATGCGATGGATATTGTCAATAGTTGATAAGGAGACGGGGAAATAAGATGTGCTATTCATCAATATGGTCCAGGCCCATGCCAACGCAATCCGGACTGTCAATGCAACATAAGTTCAAGTTCTGCCGAGACAGCCTGCTTTTCTATCGCGTCTTAAATGATAACTCAATCGCCTGGTCTCACCTCGCTATACCCTCACCGCTTGTCAAGAAAGACAAATTCTGACTACCAATTGACAACGGCTGCGTTGTCGCGTCGGGGTGCTCGTCGGACAATTGAAGGAATATATTGCGGCCGACACCTGAGACCATTAGCCACCCTCGCTCGTACTTCCACAAATGTATACGAACCAAGCCCAGCAGCTCTCCCACATTTCTGCCTTCCTCGCACACACGTAGAAGCCAAAGCCACGACAGCCTCCCATACTTCGTACCAGGACAGTCCCGTTGGTTGGCCCGTGATATCAATCTTCACCATGCATCTCCGATCCGCTATCCAAAGTAAGCAAGCTCTGTGTAACAAGAGGCGCAAGTTCTTACCAGCTTTATACGTGACTGGCAATCGGACTTGCACCCGTTGATCTGGCAAATGCCCAAAGGTCTGCCTGGTTTTGGCCGCATTCATATTGGAGAAGATGCTGACGCAAGAGTTCCATGATGGAGCAGAGAAAGTGTTGCAGCGCACATTCGGCTTGTAGGATGCAATCATCACGTCCAAGTTGTTGTCACCTCCTGTCGTTACTTTGTCAGCCGTCTCTCGGCTATGATGTCTATTTTGCAAACAACTTCCGATTCCATTACTTGAACCCCCAATGCCCTACTATTTCAACTGGATTTAACTGACCAATGTCTCCGGCTATTCCGCCCATACCACGTTTGACAACACACTCCTGGAAGAGAGTGTAGGCAGCGTTGCCTACTTCTCTCGGAGAAGCTCGGGCGGTCACTGCTCCTTCAGCAAGTATTGGCTGGACATAACACAACCCATCACCTGCGCACCAAGTTTAGCAAGCCAAAATCCATGTTCTGCCTTTCCGCTCTAGAACAGTCATGTGCAGCAAACCTGAGGTAATTGGGGACTCACTGCTAGTAGCCCTAAAAGGAAGATTTAAATCATGCGGCTGAACATTACTGCGTTCTGCGAAAACGGTCTGTGTGTCATCCTGTGCTATGAAGTTGAAGACCTTCCTGCAACTTCCCACGTTCAGATTCCTCCCATAGCGTACTGGGTCGCATCTAAGCTTCAAGACTTCGTCGAAGGATGTGTCGTTAGTTGCAGATGACAGGTTCTCAGGAAAATAGAGAGCAGGGGAGATGACAGGTCCTTGCAAAAGATCATAGGTGTCCGAGGGTTGCGGGACAACTGCACATAGTGCAAAGGCGGGAAGGATGAGGACTTCTAACAGCAGTATCCAGGGCATTTTGAAAACTAATTGAACTGCCTACAAGTGCTGCTAGAGAGGAAAACATTTGATCTTCAACCTCCGGAAGACAAGGGAGGCGGGTGGTCGGCAGTGAAGCCTGCCTTGCAATTTGAAGTGAGGGACTCGGGGAGATCATCAGATCTGGCGCCTATATATCCGTGCATGACGGAGATTGCCGAACGCGATTGAGCGATTTGTGATTTGCGGTCTTAGTTGTGAAACTTGGAGCGCATAAAAGGTACCCCCACGGCGCCTTTCAATGCAAGGAGACGAACATCCATGGATAAAGAGGTCCAACAGGTCGGCCGAGGTCAGTCATTGGCGTCATTCCAAACAAGAATTTCGCCCGTCATGAAACTAGGGGCAAGGCAAAAGCATCAGCTATCATCGTTGTGACTCCCTCAAGCCATGTGTCCTGACAACCGACATTGAGCCAGAAACCTGGAGGCCGAGAGCAGATACTTCGTTTGAAGCAGACTCCACGACGGATATGTTACGATCATTCTCAGCCTAGAGCTCTGTCTATAGGGACAGTGTATCGTAGCGAGAGTGACAAATTTGCCAAGCCCCCAGATACAAGTACTATCTTTAGACTTGTCACGTGACGCCAAGACCTGGTGCCCGCGGAGTCTTGGAAATCTCCCTCCAGCTTTCCATCAACTCTGACTATCACATGTAAAAAGTAGTCTACATTGTTCACTCGCGAGTCGGTCGAGATATCACTAAGTGCCATCATCATCTCTGACAATGATCGCATCCGATGCTACCGTTGTGCGCTGTGCTTAAGGCTCTAAATCTGCTGCATGGTGTTGATGGGGGTATTTAGTTCGTATTAGGTTCGATTCCTAATGGCGCTGGTACAATGGTGTTGCGGTGCTTTTTATTTTCTCATGGCTGTGTAAAGCTGCCATGATCTTCGTAATAGATGGCTTTCGCGTGTACACGCGAGTTGTGACCTATTTTCGTATTGGGTCTCAGAGCTGTTGCCCGGTCTAACTACGACAAGTCCTTGTATCAACCAACCTTGAGCGGCGCCAGGCGGGAGCCTGCAGTGACTTGATAGGCATACATAGTGCACACGAGCAGTGCATTCGGGCAGAAAGAATTATAGCTGAAACACATCAATGAGGTCAGCCACTTCATCTGTCGTGCTAGCAGCATTGTTCATTGGTCACTACGATATAGTGTTAATTCCAGGAGCATATTCTCGATCGACAATCCTTCACACCCAAATTCGTGGTTGAACAATAACACCGAATTCTTCGTCTCTAAGTAACTGCCAACGCAGCCTCCCGGCAACCCCATGAGTGAGACGCCCCCAATTCGCGCTGCTCCCCTACAATCCACGCAACCCACAACCCACAACCCGCCTAACCCTCCTCAATTCCCCTCAAAATTCTTAAAAACATACCCCGTCCCCACCCTCCCCACCACGCCCACAACCTCAACATCGAAGCTCAACCACACATTATCCCACCACTGCATGAACGCGCCCAAGCCCAAGACGGCAAAGCGCCACATCTCCCACTTCATCGCCGATTCCGGCAGGAGGACCACATCGACCGTGTTGACGTACTTCCGGCTGTACTGCAACTTTGTGGCCGCGATGTCGAGCTCGGGCGGGTGGGAGGCGGCGTCCTGGAAGGCGGCGTAGAGGACCTCCTGCGTGGCGATGGCGTCGCGGAGGGAGTCGCCGTAGTGGTAGAACTTGACGGAGACGGGGGTGGTGGGGACGCGATAGGTGTAGTCTTCTGGGGGAAGGGAGCTGGGGGGGAGAGATGTGATGATGAGCTGGGGTGTCTTTGTGCGTTGTGTTTTGGGGGAAGACATGAAGTGGGGACGTACTTTGGAAGTCCTGGGAGCCGAAGGGTGATGTTGAAGTGTGGTCTAAGGATCGACGGTTGATCGTTAGACAAAGACAGAGATTGCGAAGGTAGAAGCGCGGCGGAGAAGGCAAGGGCGCAAAGTAGCTGGAAAGGCAGAAGATGAGAATTTGCGGCGAAGATTGCCATGTTGGATGCAATTCTCACCTAGAGATGAACGCATCGATTGAAAATGGTTAACCCCACGGTATTTTTTTCGCTTGTGGCACTTTGGCGCATGAAGTCGGAACCCCCATCTGTATGCATGCATGTCATTGGTTCCAGCTTATTATGTCCGCTTGCCGCAGTGTATCTCCTGTCGATTGGTATTGAATGGTAAGAAGTCCTCACTCTGAGGTTCGCTTCCATCAAGATCACCGGTCAGCTGAACATATCCGTGAGATCACTAGAGCACCTCTGCGACGATCCGTTCTCCTCTCTTTCCTTCCTCGTCCTTTTCTCCTTTTCATGGTGATCCATCCGAAGTAACTCAGGGCCTATTCAACCACAAGCTTAGCCTGCTGGTCCCTAATCTCTGGTTTCCCCCTCAGATGCAACGCCAGAACCGTCATCGCCATTCCGAACACCGAAGATACAATGCAGACAACGACGAGATAGAAGAACGGCGCTTGAGGGACCTTGGTGACGTGCACAGTCCAGCGAAAGCGTTGCTGAATTTTGTCATCGAAATCGAAGAGACACCCGACGCCAGCGCCATGCCAGTCTGGCTCAACGCCTTGCCCATAGACCTAGCCATGGAGTTGTTGATCGCCATGACTGCTAGTGAAGCGGCTTGATACAAGTAGTACTGGTCGGTGTAGTGGCGCTTGTACGATGGATGCTCTTTGTGGGAAGCTGATGCTGGTGTTGAAGTCCCAGAAAGAACCGTTGATTATGGAGAAAGTAACATCGTAGACTGTCGCTTCGCAGGTTTAAGCGAAGGCTGTGAATCCTTGTCCAGCGTCTACGAGCGAGCCATTGCCCGGGTACGGATCGGCATAGTGCGTTATATGGAATGGCTGTGAAGCAACATGGAGCCGATTGTCTATGATAATAATTAGCGCTACTCCCGGCCGTCAGGAGTCTCCATTTTTATTCCCAAAAATGACCATGGCCGAATCATCGGGTCAGTTGGTCTAAAGTATAGTTTCATATCGAAGATCCTTACTCACGTTAGTAGCGTCGCTGTTGAAAGCCCTACACTAGCGATATCGACAACGCACAGAACCGGCTCATTTCCAAGCGCGCGTTCAAGTCTCTTATAAGACTTCTGCGCAACCCAGTGCCTACTCACTCACACCACGAGCGCCACGAGCGCCTCTCATGATCTCGCGCAGCAACAGAGGCCGCGAGTCTGCTTCATGGTCACTCCTCGCGTGTGGAAGAAATTCTAGAGCAACAGCGTATTAGAACAGCACCATGAAAACCGCGACGACCATCTCGGCAATATTGCTTGCCCAGCTCCCAACCAGCAAGAAACACCCAGGGTCCTTGTTGGTGTGAAAGGCGTCGAGTGAAGGGTATTCGGTATACGGAAGCGCGGTGATTTCTGCATACGAGGCTGGCATTTCGCGGTCTGAGAGGGAAATGAAAGCCAACAAGAGTATTGATATGACCAGCAACGGAAGCGAAACGATGACAAATGCGAGCACGAGATCGCGCTTTCTGCTCAACCGGGGAGCCGAAGCCTGCTCTATGTGGTCATTCCGTTTCCCGGACCGCCGCACGAAAGCAAGGTTGGAGTCCATCGTCTCCGAGAGACCGCAGAAGTTGCAGGAACCCATAACCAGAAGAAGGCAGAAAGAGAATGAGACAACGCGAAAGAACTCTTATCTAATTTCAGAAGAAGAAGAAGAAGAAGAAGAAGAAGGAGAGAAGAAGAGGGAGAAGAGGAAGAGGAGGAAGCAGAGGGAAAAAAACCAATTAGATGAGGCTGTAAATTTAGCCCTCTATTGCTCTGCATGGCAAATTCAAGGCCACCAACCCAATCTTCTTCAGCAGCATGTAAACTCATGTAGTCTCGCTAGATCATGTACAATCAGCTTACCATTTGCTGCAGCCCCAAATGTAGAAATAAGGCAGTCCACTCGCATCAGCCTCCTGTACAAGCTCACTTGCAACATCTGCTTTCTAAGGGGAAGCCTCGAAGCCTTCCAATATGCGCGCCTAGGGGGTAAAGAGTCTTGGCAGAACATCAAAATGCTATACTTGCGCAACGCAATGTCTTTTACTTAACAACATTTACAAGAATATTTTCAGGCTATAAACACTAAAATTGCTTGAGAAGAGTGATCGGGAAATTAGACAGACTTTCCCAGATGTTCTCATTGTTGAGTCCCGGTGGATTGCAACAAGAGACTTTTTGATGTCCGGTCTGACCAGCCGATGGGATACCCCCGCGTTCCCTCAGGATCTGTTGGTAGCATGATCCCATGTATGGCCGTTATACTGGAAGCGGTGAACATGTTTGAGAGGGCATTGGAAGGCTTTTTTGAGTCAACAGTGATGGCTGCACGTAGACTTAAGAAAGAGTAGAGGGCAGCATTTGAAGTACGACGAAGTCATTGGACCGATATCACGTGCATCTGCTAAAAATAGCATGTCAGCTGCAGGATCAAAACATCCTTCATCATCTCTCCAAAATCCCACATCAGCTCTTCTTCCAAGTTTGCAAGCAGTGTAACTCTAGGCTATACCATAAGAGTCGAATTTACTTATTTTCTGTCTAGGCGGCTATGAGAATGTCAATGATAGTTCAATCTGTCAATCTCAGATCTGCGTCAACGTGCTATCTGAGATAAACCAGGATTAAGCAACCATCACGCAAATGCCAGAATGCAAATATCCGAACTCTCTCGTCAGTCAATCTCAAATCATCCTCGTAAATCTTGTTCTACCATTCATACCTTCTGAGAAGCTACTCCCTGTTTCTCTTCTAGAGCCCTCATCTCCTTCTGCACAACCTCATCATTTGGCAAATACACCGCGGCTGCTTTCATCAGAGTCTTCACATCCGCCACCTTTCCCAAAGCTCTGCTCGCCAGTGCGGTCCGGTAAAAGATCTTCCCCATCGCATCATGACCTGGGAAGCTGACCGGCCAAGTCTGATTCAACCAGGCCTGGCCATCATCGCCAATTTCGTCACTCTCATCGCCGGTAAGGGAATGGCGGAAGAGGACTATGCTGCGCTTGCCCCAGAAATGCGCTTCGCTGTAATCTTCCAGCTTGAGGTACGCAAAAACAACATTGGCAACTAGTTGTACGCGTAAGATCATGCGTGCGTAGTCGGCACGTTGACCTTTATAAGTGCCGGAGTTGAGGTCGCGGATGTAGAAGCCGTCGCAATGCACAGTGCGAACACGACCCGAGACGTAGATATGGATCGCGCCGAACGAATCGATGTATTTCTGGAGTGCTTGACGGTATAACCCGAGTTTAAGAAGCGCGTTACCAGCGTCTTTGAGCGCGAAGCCTTTCTCGAGACACTGCTCCGGCGTTGGGTCGGGAATAGCTCGTTCCTTCTTTAGAGCTTCGTCCACGGAGGGCAAGAGCTTCGAGCCGTGAACTGTGAAGGTGTCGAGGTCCTTGATCATGCCAAAGGGCAGCAAGAGACGGGTCTGTAGCGCTTTGGGAAGTTTGCGGTCTCGGACATGGGGATCCTGGAGGGTGAGCTTGAGGCGCAGTTGCTGGTTTAGACCGTGGTGATTGAGGTTGGAGAAGTGCCAGAATCTATTGAAGGACTCGAGATCTTCGAGGGAGATAAGCATGCTGAATCTCCCATGGCGACTGGGATAAGGACTTCCGGGAGTATCGATGAAAACCCAGAGGTGGAAATCCCGGAAGAGCTCGGCTTTCTCTCCAGTCGTCACGCTTGGAACTTTACCCTCGCTCCTGATGTGTTCAATGGACTCAGGCCATGGCGTAGTGATCTTAATGAAAACATTGTCTTGGAAGACTTTCTTGGCCTCACGATGAATTTGGTGGCAAGTCAGGAGAATGTCCAGCTGGAACTCATAGCGGGCAGGCTCGTCGGGCTTGTCAGATTCGACTTTGGAGACAGCAGTGGATAAAACGTCACTGTATATCTGCTCACGAATCTCGGGTGGATAATCGAGGAAGCTCAAAGCCATTGAGATGGTGTTGGAGAATGGTACGAGTTCATGAGTTGGAAGCTGACTTCGGGTGGAAGGCTGAATGCGGGGCAGTGCAACAGCTTAGTCATGAGTTGACAGCCAATCAGATGAAGATCGGGCTTGGCTAGAATTACACGGAAAGAACACGAAGCTGATGGACACCCATGAATGAATTAATATCCGTTAGATAGAATCAATAGGAGAAACCGTGTATGATCTGATGTGATGCCACGGTAAGAGGCAAGGAATGGACATTGTAACAAGTGAGCGCCCACTTCAGACCAAGATCTACGGGCAGCAGGGCTCTTCACTCACATGCCTTCCTTCGGGCAAAAATCTGTGCAAACAAGTAAGAATCACGGTATCTGCCTTGTGGTAGTGGACAATGATAATCCGCAAAGCAGCTTGGATCTACCACAGAATCGGCAACTCTAAAGTAGAAAATCTTTCTCTGCTTTTACGGCACTCACCTTATCTGACGAGACGTTCTAGCCAGGACAGTAACCCTGCTCCTATGGTTTTTGCAGGGCAAAGCAAGGAAGGGGGTTCTAATGTCACAATAGGAGGCATTAGCTGCTACTTGAGGTTTCCCAAACGACCCATTCAAGATCTCAATTGGCCTGGGTGGTAAATCTCTCGTTCACAAAAGACCCTTGAGTCTTGGTCTTCGGGAAGAACATGGTATGTTAGTCAGAATCTCGCACAGTTTGTAGAGTGAATACGGGACAATCATCGATTGCATGATCGCTGAGTCCTAGTACATTCTGCCTGTCGTTATGGCCCTCATTTGAACAGATCATCGCAAAAGCATGCTCCTTCTCTGTAAAGACAACGTCTTTTTCCTAACCTCGCTGGACTTCTCGCACACACTGTCTACCTCGATCCTTACACGACAGACTCCTCATCACACGGCACACAGCCATCCTCATTGCAGATGTCAGGACATGGGTGGACGACTCTCTCTTCAAGTACGCTGCGCTTCTTGCTCTCCTCATCACAGGGCACACAGCCATGTTCATTGCAGATATCGGGACATGGTAGGATCGGCTCTGGCTGAGTACATGGCACACATCCTTCTCCCTCGCAGACACGAGGGCATACGATATCCCCCTCCGCACTCCGTTCAGAGAATAGGGGAGTGGCGAGGACAGCTGAGTCAGGTTAGTCAAGACGATCGATGCAACTAGAAGAAACCTGAGAACGTTAGATCACTGACCCGATGCTGTAGAGAGTAGCAAGGCATATCTGAAGATGTCGAAACGCATGGTGCGGATTTGTTTGAGAGGCTTGGTAAGTCGAAGAGGTGCGTGTGTGTTGCAAGGCTTTCGGAAACTCTGGTCTGGAGAGGGAAAAAGTCAGACACTGGAGCCCAAAAGGTGGGCTTTATACGCCATGACCCCTTTTACATGTGACTAAAAAAGATTGTGTTGAATGATACATTACACATTACTTCATCGTATTGGCTTGCTGCCCTTACACTGGGGGGTTGCAGTTGAGACCAGTCGGATGCCGTTGATTTCCAACTTAGGAAAGAAGTCCGAAGCACGGTGCCCTGTGGCAATTTGACAGAGAGTGCTTTCCGCGTCTCTCGGCCTGTGGCAAAGGTCTTTCGGTAGTCTATAAGCACATGAAACCACCTTCACCCCTACGAGATACTTCCATCATGCATACAAGACTGGTCACCTGAGCCAGAAAGCTTCTGGAATGGCCTTGGTTCTGAGAATCGCCGGCTTATCATTGGCAGCAACCCCTCTTTCCAGCGCCTGGGGTGTAAGGTACACGCTCGGCTGCCTGCAGCACGTGGACCTCTTTAATCTCCGTGAAGATTCTCCACTGGGCGCGGAGACATGACCTTTTTCTTAGCTTAGCTAATGGATGACCTTACACGGACTTTGAGAATCTAGACCTTGTGGCCAAATTTTGCCTAGAAAGAGTATGTGTTCATGACGCTGGGATCCCTCTGCCCAGCGAAGCCAGGGTTGTGTTCTTGCGTCAGCTTACAGCCCCGTAGTATTCCTCAGACAGTGTCTTACTCCTCGTCCAGGTCGCTCAGAATGGATTGAACCAATCCTGATGAGCCTGAAGGTCCTCAAGGATGACAAGGTGTGGACGGACGGACGAACGGACAAACAATAAGCACTCAAAAAACTTGAGCCATTTACTAATGGTCAGATCTCCGTCTTACCGTTACATAACTCGCAGCTGAGATCCTTCTTTCAAAAGACTATCCAAGAGTCTGTGCAATAGTCGAATTCTATTTCGAAATTGTAGGTTCTTTGGGTGATGCTGTGGCTGTCGACGTACTTCTTGATTCGCGACCTTTTTGCCACTGCCGGTTCAAAACTTCTTACCTTCTAAGCAACAGTGCCGGGAATGCCGTTGATGATAGCATCCATTCACGCCGCCGATTTATTGCGCAGTAACATGGGCTATGTCAGCGCTGGAGATGGTGTGGCTGATTCCCACAGGGAAAAAACCTTGCGTGAAAAGACTAGCTCCTCAGGAGCCTGGCTAATGATTCGATTTTCTCAGGAAGCCTAGATCCGAGATGGTCTTAATCCAGTGTGCGCTTTGGCCTTGTGACCACAGCTGGAATACAGAGTCTTTCGCCCTTGAGCTATCACGACGGACAGTGCCTCGATCATCGCTGATATCGGGCAAACGCTAGAGGTAATTGAGGCTCCGTTGGACATGGGCTAGCGTTCTCGATAGGCTAGGTTGGTGTCTACCTGCGGCCGTATGCGTCCTTCACTAGATGTTTCAGCCCGAGCGTATGACTTCCCCCAGCTTCCAGATTCATCAGCCAACCTTTTAGTGATATGTATGGAAGAGTCAGAACTTGGATCTTAGACATCATGACTTAGAATATGCCAGCACATGATCCAGCTAATATGATCTTAAGCTACTGGAACGGATGCCAGAGGAGTTCCGGGAGCTTCAACAATATCTAACAATGGCACGGTTTCTGCTCCACCAGGAGCCGCTTTCAATATGTGGGCTTCCGAATTTTGATCAACAGGTATCCCATCTCCTGGCAGGGCCGGTGTTTCGTCGTTTTACTATGCGCGGAGCGTCTGAACACGCACATCAAACTATTCCCATAGAAAGCGTAACAGCTTTTTGTTGTCAGTACCAAATATAGCGAACAGTAACCCAGACATTCTCGTACGGCCTGATGTTCCAAACTCCATCGTTGAAATGTTTCTCTTCCTTCCTTGCAAGACATGCTCATCATCGACACTTTTATGGTATCTCAGGCCAGCGCAATCAGCGACCCTTCCCACTGCGAATTTCTTCCCTCGCATCTTAGTATCTACTCCCACGGCAGCGGCCTCTATAGAAGCATAGACGGTGTACACATCGTCTACCGTTGCGCGACTCAGGCCTTACTAGACAGAATGCTGAGCGCGCGGGAATTGGGCCATTTGAGAGGAGCGACGCATTCATGATGAACGGTACGCACAAATTTTTATCAAATCCGTGGTGCATTTGGAACATTGTAATCCATCTTATCTGACAATCTATGTTGTGGGGTTTGGAAAGGGAGACGAGCTTTATCGTGCTGATGGATAGGGCTGAGGGAGGCGATGCAGGGAGCGGGATGGTGAGATACTTAGAGGTAGTGGACAGCGGGACTGTGAAGCGGGGACCTCTCCAAATGTGTTGATACAAACCTTTTCCAAAGAGACACCTCTTTGTGCAAAGCCTTTCTGAAAGAGGCACGAACACGAGAAAAACAATCTTTTTCAACACGCCGACAACACTTCTTGTCGTGACTCTTTACGACTCTCAAATCCTCAAGTTCAAACCTGGTGACCTCATACTTATTCGCACGCGGATGTCTTCAAATCCCCGTAATTCGTTCCAGAATCTCTTGAGTCGGTGTCTCGGAGACCATCAGCCATCGAAAACCCCCACCATGTCGCAGCAGTTCCTCAGCCAGGTTCTCAAAGTCGAGAACGAGACCGCAGACTCTATAGTCGCTTCACTCCTACAAGTAGAGTCGGACTCGAGCGAAGCTTGCTGCATCTGCTTGCAAGGTATCGGAACACTAGTAAGTCTATTTCTATACACGATTAGCTCCCCGTCAGCCCGGAATCAAAGCTACGAGACTTGTCCCAGAAGAATTCTATTTCCAACTCTTTTCGGATGATTGAGCGGAAACCGTACTACAAGAGACGCTAACACGTCGACCTTCAAGTCTTCCGAAACAGGAGTCATCGAATGTGAAATTCGCCTCCCTTGCTCTCACAGAGTAGGATCCGCGTGCATCGCAATTTGGCTGCGCACGAACAACACATGCCCCGTGTGCCGCCGAGTCTTCTTTGCCGCCCAACCACCGCCCTACCTTGACTCGATTCCATTCGAGGACGAAGACTCAGAGATAGAGGACGAGCCAGATCTCACTGGAGGACGGACCCTTGGAGTTGATGTACGAGCCCGTTCCAGCAACAGTGCGTTGGGCCTACGTGACCACAGATATCGATTACCTCTGCGATGCATTCTGCGAAGAGCTCGCTGTATCCCATAACACGTTAAATGTCGCGCGGGAAATGGCTCAACGTCTGGCGCTCAGTATGGGCGAGCATCACACGCCAGGTTACATCGTGTCCGTCACTTTCTACATGGTAACGCACATCATGAATGAACGCAGATCGCTCGAGGAGATAAGGGGAATCGCAAACGTCCAGACCGAAGAGATCCACCAGGCCTACAGACGTATTCATCCCACTCGAGAGCAGCTGATCCTACCGCATATGTTTGCGGCGCTCGGCGGTGATAGTGTACAGAATTTTCTCGAATCATTACCTTCACCCAATACTGAGAACGGATTTACAGATCAGGAAGAAGGTGGCACAGACCTTGAGCACTATCTAGTTCCTGCTCAGCCGAAGCGACTGGAGGAGCTCTGCAATCAATATAGCGACGAGCTGGCCTATTTCGGAGGTATTCGTGACATCTGTCTACAGATTGCTGGGAAAATACGAGCTGGGCTGTATCTGGCGGGTCTCTCTCCTCTGCCGGTCATCGCAGTCAGTCTCTACATGGCGTCTCATCTCGCGAGTTTCGGCACACCGATTAGGCAGATATCTGAGGTCGTCGGCATCAGCGAGGGCACGATTCGAAACGCTTATCGAAGAGTCCATCCATGGCGAGGTGAGCTCATCCACTCCGATATGCTCGACACGCACGAGGATGTTCGCAGACATAGAGTTCTCCGGGCTATAGCCTGGCCTGCTTTATAGTTGCACCGTTTCGATGGAAGGGGAGGGCGGGATGGGTCGAGAAGCAGAGTCAGCAAGACTGAAAGAGGCTGAGATGGATATTCTTGCAAGAATGAGAGCACTAGAAGCAAAGGAACCTCTGACCTAGGGACAAGACTGAACTGGTTGGCTGTTCAACAAACCTACGACTTCCTGGTCCCCTCTAGCGAAGCCTGTGTCTCTTTACCGCAGAGCAACACATTCGATCAAATGTTTGATAATGCTTTTACTCCCATATCATTGCGAGAAAGACTGTCTGACTCATTCCCTTTTGCAATTGTTTTGCTTGCTCGTCTCAAACGCCTTGGTGTTCTGTCCCACCCAATTTTGCAAGCAACTTTTCTTTTACTACGGAAGTGGATCGTTATGCACGGTCTGAAACCAAATAAATCCGATTCTCTTATAATTCATCCTTCCACAACAGTCTCTAAAAACTTTTAGAAAAATACATGATAAAGCGTTTAGAATAAGATATTTGGAACCTCAACAACTCTTAGAATCGGAGTTGTATTGATAAAGTCATATAAATAGTGTAATAAAGTCTAGGGTGGGCTCGGGGTGAGTTCGTGGGTAGCAGGCATTTCCGGGTGGATACGAATAAGCTAAAGGATCTCGGGAGAGGTTTGCGTGCCTTTTGTGTTGCCAAAGTCATCTCGATAGGAACAGAGGGAATATAGATATAGCTGTTCGTGAAACCTCAGACACGTATAGGTATGCTGAGCAAAAGGTGCTTGGATTATTGCAGGTCTTGGCAAAAGATCAAGCTTTCGGGCGAAGGTGTGGCGCTAGCCGCTAGACCGTCGGCGTAACCCCGGGGTTGGAATACATTGTCCCGAGGGTTCGTTTCGACCAAGTCTCACATCTTCAGCATCAGGGGGCATTGCTTGTTATCTGCATTTGCAATTGCATCAACATCAACATCCATTCTACTTCTCTTCATGCTTGCATAGCTTTCTTGTCCAAGCCATTGCATCCCTCATTGCTCCTGCCTGCTCCCCATGCAGCAAGCTATGGCCGCGCGCCGGCGACCACTCTTCTTCATAGCTGTTCCCGCCCTCGTCTTCATCTACTTCTTCAGCTTCACAGGGAAACATTCCGGACCATTCACGTATCCTCCTCCCATACCTCCATCTGAATCGTTAGGCACTCATGCGGGCCTCGAGAATTGTACGGATGACTTCGACGCCAGCTACGAGGGTCTGCGGGTCCGCCAGGCAACCATGCTGTATGAGGGGGACAAGGACAAACTCAGAGGCATCTACGAGCGCTGTGTCGAGACACATCGGAAGCATGGTGATAGATGGGGAGTTCCGACCCATGTGCTTAGCCATGCTCTGTATGAGGACAACTCATACTTCAACAAGCCCGCGTACCTACAGTCTCTCATAATGGTCGAGTTGGCTAAGCCTGCTGCCAAACGGGCGGACTGGATAGTGTAAGGCATTGCTCCGACCCAATCTCGGTGCATGTCTCTGACAATCCTTGCTAGGTGGTTTGACGGAGATAGTGTCATCATGAACCCCGAAATCCCCTGGACCATCTTCCTCCCACCCTCCGACCTTCACGACTACCACATACTCGGCACCCAAGACAACAATGGTTTCAACGCTGGAATGCTCATACTACGGATTGATCAATGGACCGTCCGAGTACTCAGTCAGGTCCTAGCCCTTCCTGTTCTGCAACCGAGCGTCGGTCTTCCCTTTTACGACCAGAGCGCCCTTGACTGGGTCTTTCAACTACCGGCCAACCAAGAACACTTCATCTTTCAGCCTCGCCACTGGTGGAACCGATACTTCTTCACGGGCGACGGCGACCAACCTGGCGAGATGCTGCTACATTTTGCTGGAATCGGTGCCCAGTCTGGAGGAGGTAGTCAAGAGAAAAGTGCCGTGATGCGCAAATATCTAGAGAGGGCAGAGACTGACCCGCAGAGCTGGACAAAGGATCTCTCAAAGACGCCGTATGAGAAAGAGACCAAGGCTTTCTGGGATGATGTGAGGGATGCAAAAGAGACGCTGCAAAAGACTGGGAAGTGGTTCAGGGATCATCCGGCAAACAAGCATGTCCGCGAGGTGCAAGAGGCCGAGAAAGTTCTACGTGAGACACTTCTGAGGGAAGCGGACAAGGTGGATTGGCTGTCTGGGAATACGACTCAGCTGCAGAAACTCCTACGGGACTGACAATAATCAAGAGCTGGAGGAAGAAATCTCAGGGCACAGAGAGGCATGAAATATGAAGAAGGCTACACCAAGGCGCACGGCAAGCCCGCTCGTGCTCGAAGTTTGGAATGGGCCTCCTTCGGTCAGCCATTGCGCCCTCGCGCCCAATGCCCGTCAGCACTAGCCCAACAACCACAGAACCACCCATGTTCATCACCACATTTCTTGGGACATAGGCCCTCTTTGTTATTTCGAGCATGCCGGTTTGGACTGCGGTCAGCGAGAACGCATGCCGCACTATCGTGAGTTCGAAACAACGAGTCACCACAAGCATCCCATTTTGTCGCAGGACCCTGTCAGTATCGCTTTCTGGACCCTCAAATCAGCATGAGGGGATGCGTTGACACAATCGCCGAGCGTCATCTTTTCTGTCAACACGAATCTTAAATTTGCATAATTATTGAGCGTCTTTGATACTGATCATTCTTTGTGTTAGCGTGGCGTTGGAGATGGGGGACTGACTGTTCTATTGTTAAAGACGAGCCCAGCTGAAATAAAACCAATGATCTGGAGCTCAGCTTGTTGACTGCAGTGCAGTGATGGTGACAAGTTTTAGCAAGTTGTTGAATTTGGCTCAATCGTCTTCCGCATGACGACAATTAGTATCCCCAGTCTGGCATCATGCAAAAACTACGATTCGTCCCATTCATGCAGGCTATCGCAAGCAATGCCTTGATCGATTCGAGCCCCTCCTTTCTTGTTGGTCATTATTTCGAGATCGCCTTCGCGGCTAGTACAGCTGCAGAAGCGCGTGCATAGTGGAGCATCTGACCATGTATGTCTACAGTAGGAGCTTCTCAGCAGTACAGTACTCCCTTTCTCAAGTAAAACCACATCTGACCGTCTTCCACCAGTTCTGCGTCCTCAAGACTCCGCGGTAGTTGACCCAACTCCGGGATCTGACAATGGCGCTGCTGTTCCCACCTCCCGCCTCCGTTCCGCTGTTTGGCTTTAACCCCTTCCTCGTCTACATCCTTAAAGGTATACCATCTCGTATCGCAAGCTGCGTCAATTCAAAGGTCCATTTCTGGCGTCCTTACCACATTGTTTGCTATTCAAGGCCACACTCCATGGTCGAATTGCTCCAGCCGTCGCAGGCCCGTTAAGGAAGTATGGTGAGGCTTCGCGATGCTATAACAATTTCGTAAGAGAAAAATAAATAATCTACAAAAGCTCTCCGGCCTGGGTTAGTCCGAAGCTACTTCATACCAATGACCTGGTTGTGATGCAAGCGACGATCAAATTTCACACTAGGCACACAATGCGATGGTACGCGACTGCACCAGACGCAGGCTTTGCATTTCTTTACAAAGAAGCGAAGAAACCCACCAAAGTTTCCGGGCGTCCATGAAATGAGGCACATTTGTATAATCTCAAGCTACTGCTGATACTCGGCAAAGAACTCCCCACCCTCGAATTCACCGTCAACGCCCGAATCCTTGACCTCATCCGACGCATCTTCACCACCAACCAAGCCTTCGATATGCCACTTTCGTTCAATAAATCACTATGAGTATCCTCACATGGCCATATTTCCTGACATGATCTCCCGAATAAGCGCACACCCCACAGCGTCACCACCAGCGCGCGCTTAATATTTTCCCATCTCCCGCCCTCTAAACATCATCTCCTGCTCCCAAAACATTCCAACCGCCCACCTCTTATGCACAAATCTCCTCTCCGGATCCTTCGCCTTTACTTCAAACCGCCTCAGAATCTCCAAACACAATTTCTGCATCTGCATCTGCGCCAGATATTTCCCCGTACACTGCCTCGTCCCGTAACCCCACCACATCCCATACCGTTCCATCCGCGCACTGCGCTCTTGATCCTCCAACCATCGCTCGGGCCGGAACGTATCGGCGTCCTCGCCAAAGACGGCGCGGCTGCGATGGATGATGTACGGCGAAGCGGCCATCTCCGTCCCCGCCGGGATGACCTCGCCGTCATACACCAGTCCGCCCGCCGAGACATAGCGAGGCAAGATGGTCTGCGCGGGGGACTCGAAGCGCAAGCATTCGCTGATGCAGGCCATGAAGTACGGGAGGGCGGTCGTTTCGGCGTGGGAGACGACGGGGCCGGAGAGGGCGCCGCGGCGCTCGAAGTCGGTGATTTCGGCCATGAGCGTGCGGTAAATGGAGGGATTTTGGGTGACGTGGTCGATGAAGGGGGAGATGAAGGCGGCGAGGCCGTCGAGGGCGGCGGAGGTGAAGAGGATATGCTCGGCGGCGATTTCGGAAGGGCTTAGGGATTCGCGGCTTGGGTTAGGGATCAAGAGGCTAGGGAAGATGTCAGTGGAAGTGGTGGATGGGAAGTTATGCGGGTAAAGGGAGGGGGGGAGGTGAACCTGTCGAAGAGGCAAGGCCGGAATTTGAGATGGGGTTCCGTTGATCGTTTGACCATCATGTTCTCGTAGTTCTGCAGGAGAAGATTAGTGATTGGGAAGCGTGTTGAACAAAGGAAGATTCGGGGTTGCCTGTACGTCTGTGAGTTTCTTGATGCCTTTTGAAGCCTTCAGGTACGGCACGACCAGTTTCTTCAAGAGAGCGTTTTTGATGAGAGGGATGAAGAGCCAGGGTAGAACTGCTACGGTACCGACCATAGAGTATGCGCTTTGTATAGCATCGATCAGTCCGTTGACGTCGTGTCCCCGTGCGACGCATCCCAGCGGCTCGCCGTAGGCGATGTGACTGTAGACATCGGCAAGCCACCAACTGAGGCATAGGCGTTAGAAACTCTCTAAAATCAAGTAAAAGCCAGTTCACAAGACGAGTAGTCGCAATCACGAATCTAGCAGAGCCTTGCGGGCAAGAGCCCAGACAGCGCAAACAACATACCTCAGGCGGTGGGAAGAGGATGCTCAAGTATTACGAAAGTACATGTAGCGTAGAATTCGGAAATAAGACCTACCGAACGTACTCTGAAAAGTCGACAGCTTCGTGTGCCGTAGATCTCTGTTTGATCCTATCGCACAATTCTGCAATCCGTTCATCGATTGTCTTTTCGAACTTCTTCAGGGTCTTCATCGAGCACTGTGCACTCAGGCAGTGGATGTCTGGAGTACAATAGCTGGGAACAGAGGACTTTGACTTACGCATGGAGCCACGATCTTCGACTTCCTAGCATGCTCCCTATTATCCAACGTTTGAAACATTCCAACCGCGTTGCCAAACAGCCAGGAGCTATAGAAAGGTGTTTTGTCAGCCCGCGCATGATAAATGTCCGGTAACAGGCGTGGGTCACAGAACGACAAAAGGTTGGGAGCGAGACGGATGAGAGGCCCTTGCATCAACGATTATGCATTAGCCCATTTTCTCTAGATCAACGCGATTGGAGTAGAAACCGTGTTCTTGGTGCAGTTTTAGACCCTCTGTTGGGATCGAATTGATGGCGTAGAATTTGTATAAGTCTGTTACACTACCCCAAAATGGTCCAGGATACCTCGACAAAGGATGGAAATAGCGATTGTAGACTGCTTTGTAGACGAGAAACGCGGCAAGAGCTAGGAAGGTTATGAATAGGAACCCGGGCAGAATGACACCTGGCAACCTCCAAGCATCTGTTATAAAATTGGTTGTGAAATGCATGACTGTAGATAGTGTTGGAAGATTGTATTCCTGGTGTAGTCTATAAAATAGAAGGATGAGAATGGTTGAAAGAGCAACATCGAGCGGTCCTGTATCGGTTAACTCCGGCATTCCACACACCCCCCTCTCCCTCCCCCCACACCACCACACCCACACACACACACACACACACGTCCTCGATCCAGGCAGAAGCAATCCAACAGACCACAACGATACATCAACAGCAACTAAATGGGGCGATGGACGTTCGACCGAGATAATTTCGATGAGCTGGAGCTCCTTTCGGTAGGATCTTTTATGCGGCTGTGTTATACGGATATGCTCGAGGCTTTTTCGTGCAGAATTGCATGGTAGACATGACTGGAGCTAATGGATTTGATGCGATCAAATGCATGCCACGGGAAGTTTGTGTAGATATCACAGAGGCTCCTATCGGCGATTTTTTCAGAGAATGTGACATTAGCATACGGCTAGGCCTCAACCGGGTCCAAGCACGACGTAGGTCATCTCCAACGCTGTGACCCAGACGAATGTGGGTTGCTCTTAGAGCTGTCATGCTGTAGGAGCAATTACGAGATGCACTCGGGTCGGGCTCAATGTTTGGTCATCGCTTACCTAGCGGACAAGACCGGAGATTTATCTCTCGACTCGGCAGCCTATTGGATCCGTTCTCTGCAGGATCCCGCTAGAATACGACATGAAAATCTCTCACATGTCCTTGACCATCAAAGTAGTCGAAGACGTTTTCTGCAGCATTGCCTCAGAGCGGAGCAACCATGACCTGTGTACATGCCTTGAAAGAAGGGCGTACGCGTTTTATTGAGACTTTCAGGAGGTTGGCATTCAAGCTTAGCTCGGTCTTAAGCGTCCCAAGGCATCCTTTCGATCCTCCAATCCCTGATTCACCCAGAAGTGTAAAATATAATAGTAGTCTATTTAATTAAGAAGTAGTAGTAGCTATAGTAGTAGTAACTATCTATATCGGATTTATCGGGTTTAAGAGCGTGCAAATGGGGGTAACTTGCAAATAGGGCTGGAAACGAGTAATCTCAATAGGGCAAATTACCGAATCATACCCCGAAAGTACGAATCCTTACCGAATCATACCCTAATTACCGAATCATACCCCTACATCAAATCACACTCAAATATGGGGTATGATTTGGTAATTTGTTATTGCTTGGGGTATGATTTAGTAAGTTATCAAAGTGGCCTAAAATATAAAGCAGATAATCCGCGATCTGGCTTATTCGATCATAGAAATAAGGGAGTTTCTCCGACCGCATTTGATAAGAATTCTATCAGCCTAAAAACATTTAGACGAAAGCCGAGTGGGCGAAATTTAGCCCGAGGGATGTCCGCATTTCACGCTGTAGACACCACTATTCGGGTCCTGTAGGCCCCGTAAGGCCCCCGAAGGTAATTTTTATTACGCTGCGCAACGGGGCGGGGTAAGCTTCGAGGGTTAAACTTAGTAACTTAGCTAAAAAGCTTTCGGGGGTATCTGCGCTTGACAGCCAGGTAACCCTTGTTGGGTTTATCTCGTAGGGCCTTCGTAGGGCCCCGTAGGGCCACTGCTAACAATCCCCGCCCCGAACCCCGCCCGCAGCGTAATACACCGTTATTATAATTAGTCGACGACTATACCAGACGCTCAGTAAGCCTACCACTACCATTAACTTCATTAAAGTTTTAGTTAATCAAATCATACCCCGCAATGGCAAATTACCGAATCATACCCCATATTTGGGTGAAATTTGGTGTAGGGGTATGATTCAGTGAATTGGGTATGGATTGGGTAAGGATCCATACTTTTGGGGTTGAATTAGTAATTCGCCCAATCTTAATAGCTGCTGAACTTAATGCGCTGATCGTCTTCGACCACCGAATGATTAATTCGGACCCTCCGCGAAGCTCTGCAGCAAAATCAGTGCCAGCCCTACTCCTATTTTATTCTCCGGGGATCGACTGGAGCGCATTAGCTGAACCTTGGAGCTCCAAGCGCAAGATCCAGGCAACCGTTCTCGCCCTTCAAGCTAAAGAAAATCCCGGCATCTTGGTGCAGGAGTCTTGGCGTCGAGGACTTTTGGTGTAGACCTCCGTCAATTGGTCTGAGAGATAATACAAATAGAGGACGGATGGGGAAAGTGATAAACAGCCTTAAATTTGCCTTGAAACGAACGGTCCGGAGGATCGGGAGCTTTCCGTTTCAATGACTGCATAAATGCCTCACACCGCTCGCATGTTCCCCGTTCTCCGAATCGCCACCGGATGAGCCCATCTGCAGCTTCGGATTTATTCTTTTCCTCTACTTTTGCTCTCCGATTGAGACAAGTGTGGGTACCTCGTCAATGCTCGGTGTCCGTTGTGTAGTATATCGCTTAGACATACATGCACAAACAGGGTTAATACCCTCTGATGCAATTACGCACATTGCCGGTCATGAGCTCGACCAGTGTGGAATGTCGTCAGATCTGCGCGGAGACGGCAGTAGAAGGATCGCGGAATTCCTTAGTGGTCGCTGCGGAATACGTTTTCATCGGCACATGACATCCTTCTCGCCTTCTCCTACAAGTCTTGGGACTCTTTGCAAAGTCTCTTGAGATCACCAGACGGTGTGAGGCTTATGTTTGGCCTGCGTGTAATAGAAACATAAAGCATCTTTATTCAATTTCGTTCAATCAGAATACCCCAACATGGATTCCTTGGAACCCCCGGCCGGAGGTGATCAGAACAGAGGCCCCGAGTTGGTTGCCGTTATTTGGGTCTTCACCGCGCTGGCCTCCTTCGTTGTTAGCCTCAGGCTGTTCACAAGGGTCAAAATCTTGAAAGAGACTGCTCTTGATGATGTATTTACATTTCTTTCTCTGGTAAGCTCGCGCTCTTGGTTGTATCTTTCTTCTTCAGTTGGCCGGATATCTACTCAAATGGTCCGGTACAGGTTCTCATTCTGGTATGCACTTCTGTCATTACTGCCAGTGTGAGCGCCGGCATGGGACGGCATGGATACTACCTCTCACCCCACCAGAGAATACAAGCGACGAAGCTCAACTATATATCCAACCCTTTTGGTATTATGGCGTACTCACTTCCCAACTTGTCAGTTGCAATCTTTCTCAATAGGATTTTACGCCTTCCAAGATTGCAAAAATGGCTTCTGTACAGCGTGCCAATCGCCCAGTGTGTGATTGCAGGGATATCCTGCGTTTTATTGTTCGCTCAGTGCACACCCTCCCGGTTTCTTTGGGATCCTGCAATTCCCGCGAGGTGTCTTTCCGCGACAGTACTCACTGGATACTCCTACTTCGTCGGAGGTGAGCATTCGGATATCACCATAACGATCATGTGTTGCTGACCTACTCGCTACAGCGTATTCTGCATTCACAGATGTCTTCCTCGCGATCATACCTGCATTTGCGTTCTGGAAACTTCAAATGAAGCCCAAAACCAAGCTTGGATTGTGTTTTCTGATGAGCACCACGGCCTTGTACGTATTGGAGTGCCATGTAGCGTACCGGAAAATCTGACATTTCCAGTGCCGCAATATGTGCGATTGTCAAAACATCTAAACTCAATGAGCTGGCTGATCTGGCTGATTTTACATGTGCGTACCTCGTATCCAGTGCGGCTCTGAGGTCGTTCGATCATCGCTGACAGCTGCATCAGATGCCAGTGTGGACCTTTTGATTTGGGCCGTGTGAGTATTTTATGTCACTCTTGAGGCTTCACCAACTCTGATACTTGTTTGTTTACACAGTGTTGAGGCGGATGTGATCATCATTGCCGCCTGCATTCCAAGCCTCCGTCCATTCGCTTTATCTGTCGGCCAGTCCCTCCGGGATAGTAATGGCAAGTCTCGCCCCAAACGAGCTTGGTATCAACAGCATAGCAGTGATGTACCTCTTGCATTGAAGCCGATGGTACCGGGTGAGAATGGCAATGGATCCAACAATAGCACCGAGGGTGGGTTGAGTCGCGCTAGCTCGACTCCACCGAAGGTGGTTCAAGAAAACCAATTGAAATCGTACTCGAGGGGCATTTCAAATCATGTCCAACAAAGCTAGAATAGTTGTAGCGAGAAGAAGAAAGGAATGAGGTAATTAGAACTCTAGTTTGCAGACTTTGGGCTTCGACAGTGTAGATCAGACGGACACAATTCTTGCAATTCTAGCGAGACCTTAGGCGTTGGAAATGGTTGCGAGGTAAGAGTTGCCTTTCGCCCACATGAGCACCAAGAAGTAGTGACCTAAAAGGAGCTTCTCCCACGGATAAGAGTGTAGGGTTCCAAGACAGAAGATGATTAGCGCAAGACAGATACATCCGAGTAAGTAAGATTAGAAGGCCAGTCTAGGCTCTCTACAAACTCACCGTTGCCGAAAACGATCTGATAGAGGATGTCATTGCTCTCCCGTAAATCTTGGTCGCCGAGTTACAAACTGTCGATCCACGAGCACTAATCGTATGGGAACACGCTACACTTAATGCAGGTGAAGTCTGCCTGGCTGGACCCCCACCGTGCATATGCATGTCAGATGCTTGATCCGTTGGCAATGATGATTCCCTGTATTTCCCGAGGTGGATGATATTCGTACCATGAAGCGGCTGAAGCGTGATGACGAGTTCTGCGCTCTCCCATCCACATCCTATCTTTTTCGGAGTTCCAGGGGGCTGTTCGGGACTAGCGCCTTGGCAACGATTTACATGTCACTGTACCTTCCTTACCTTACCTACTTACTTACTTCTAATTAGCTTTAGAATCTTCGTCACTCACCCACCATAGAATTGAGCTGACACCTTCCTCAAATTTGTATTATAAGACGCCTTCTTCTACCAACATTTGCCCTTTAGACTCTTCCCTCTCTCGAAAAGCCCTCCGTTTCTAGCAACAGCCGTCCAGTTTGTGACTGCATGATCATGGCTTTATCCACAGATCACTCCACGCGAAGCGTAGCGGACATCCTAGGAGCTATTGCCGCATCTACTGAAGCTGTTGCCCAACAAAAGCCAGGAGCACGGGAGAAAGTACTGGCCTTGTCCCATCAATTAGTATCTGCTCTCGAGACGCCAAGCGAAACAATACAAAGGATGGGATGGGCAGAGGTATGTGACTCGTCTCCAAAAGCGTACAAGTCTCATGGGGTCTTACGCTGAGTCTCGTCAGCCTGCCCGATTTGCTGCAACTCAACTCGCTGTCGACCTCAAAATCTTCGAGAAGCTCGAAGAAGCGCATGATGCTCCCGTAAGCCTGTCCGATCTGACAAAATCTACAGGTGCGGATGCTGCGTTGCTCGGTGGGTTGTCTTCCATTGTGCCTTCGACGTTCAAGGCTCCCAAAAGCGGGAACGCTCACTACTTGCATAGCCAGGACAATGAAGCATCTTTCGGCCATGGACGTGGTTGGTGAAACAGGGGCAGACGAATATATTTCTACACCAATCTCGACCGCCTTGACCGTTCCCAAGTTTCGCGATGGGATAAGCTATCTGTATGCATGCCCCTCCGCAGGATTGTCACTCTTCGTACTGATCCATTTCCTGAAGCTTCAATGTTGCCGGACCTTCATTTCACTCCATCCCTGCTTACCTGAAGGCAACCGGGTACGGAAACCCGGGAAACATCGCTGACGGTCCCTTCCAATTCGCACACAAAACGCAGAACCCTTTCTTCATCTGGCTCGCCGAGCACCCAGGATACGGAGAACAGTTCAATAACTACATGAGCGGATATCGCCAGGGAAAGCGCAGCTGGTGTGACGAAGGCTTCTACCCCGTGATGGATCGAATTGGCCAGGGGCTGAATCCCGAAACGCCGCTTCTTGTCGATGTGGGTGGTGGCCTCGGTCATGATCTGCTCGAGCTCAGGACCAATCACCCCGAGCTCTCCGGCCGTCTGATCCTTCAGGATCAGCCCGACGTCATCAAGCAGGTTGGGAATGCCGCGGAAGGCATTGAGCTGGCTGTTCACGACTTCTTTACTCCCCAACCTGTCAAAGGTATGTCCCAAATCGTACATACCCGTGTCCGTTACACCAGACCTGGCAGGACTAAAATTACTACAATCTGCAGGCGCCAAAGCGTACTATCTCCACTCCGTACTTCACGACTGGGACGATGCATCGTGCCTTCAGATTCTTCACAACATTGTCCCAGCCATGACACCTGGATACTCCAAGCTCCTGATCAACGAGAATGTAGTACCAGACTTTGGAGCAGCGTGGCCGATCACTTCGATGGACTGGCTGATGATGGCGTTGGGCGCGGTGAAGGAGCGGACGGAGAGGCAATGGCGAGGTTTATTACAGCAGGCCGGGTTGGAGGTCAAAGGAATCTGGACCTATGAGCAAGGAACCGAAAGCTTGATTGAGGCTGAGGTGGCAGTATAAGAGGGAGGAGCGGCCGTGCGCTCATTGCGCGGAGGAGCGAAGTGGGTGTGCTTTTCAAACCAGCAGCAGCAGCTCAACAGTCAACCACACACAATTCCCAACCCTTCCTTCTACGCGAGATGAAAGACCAAGCCAAGCCTTGAACAAAGTCTCGACTCGTCACCAGGAAAATAACTATGCCAAAACAGGACCCGCATACCGCACTCCCACCACGCCTCAATCCCACGACATTTCCTCCCCCCACCTCCCACCCAACCAGCATCGACCGACGACCGGATCACCTCAGCGATCTCCGGCGCTCGAAAAAGCCACGACTTTTCCCCCGCGCGGTTGGCGCCCCGTCCTTCAATTCGACCCGTTCACAAAATGTACACGTGTATGACGGGGTGAAAGGACGCAAGGTCAGGCTCGTAGATGGAGTTCGATGGTATCGTGACGATACGATACGATACGATACGATTGATTGATTGATTGGTTAGACATGTGTATGTCATACGTGGATATTCCCAAAGTTTTCAACCGTCTCACGCTACTCTACTCATAGTACGCGCCAACACAGCTCGCTTCGATTCCTTCCTTCGTAATATACTTTGCTTTTGCCAATGGACACCTTTCGCCATCGAAGTCTTCGATCTGACAGGCACCGTCTTATTCCATCATGTCACGCCTCGCGGAGACACCCACCGAGGTACCATAGCTCGCTGCATCCCATCTTAACGAACGCAGAGGAATCAAGCCTCAATCGCATCTGCAGTACCACCCGTTGCGTTGTAGTGGAGTCTGCTCTGTATGGTGAAATCAGCATGGATTGGTTTCAGTATAGAAACACGGCCCTACCGGTTCCTCTCTTGCCCAGAACGATGCTCGCCCATCACAGCCTTGCGGACAATGTCAAAGCGTGTCCGGTTCTGAGGGGGACAAGACTATCCGCTGGGTTAGCGCAGAAGCAGCAGGGTTTGGTGACGGTGAGTTGCAGGGTTATCGTCGACCATCGTACGGAAATCCACAACGTACCGCACACGTAGAGACGATACCGCCAAACACGCACACTCGGGGACAGAGAACCTGGCGACGAGATATCAGGGCAGGTAGGGTAGACCTATACCAAGCGCTGTTCATCTCTCCTTTTCCCAAGATCAAGTTCGTCGAGATAGGGACAGACCCGTAACATGGGTTTCGAGTACATTAGCGCCACACTCCACTCTACTCCATGCTCCACGAATCCTCACCTCGGGTCCTCAACCTACCGTCAATTTCAGAGGGTGGCGGCCTTGTGCACTGACGGCTTCAATCGTTCCGCACCTGATATCTTGCCCTTCTTCCATCTTCCCTGCCTCCAAGAACTTCGTGGCGTAACAGTGCCTGATGATCTCCCATTCTCCTAGCCTGCTACACCCCCTCGTGCGGACCCCTGGCAAATACTGCGCCTACAAAGAAGCCACTTGAAAGAAGCCGCCTAGGGGCGCAGTTGCCAGTTGCGGCACCAAAGCCCCGTGGTGCTCGAGTACGACTTTTGCTGTGCAATATCATATCACGTCGAAGATTTGACCGGTTCGAATCCTCGCTTGCGATCGGCTGGATCACGCTTACTCTAGCGCACGTGAAGACGTGAAGACCACCCTTGAGATTTTGAGAATCTCGGTCCATTTCTTCTATAGTCGTGCTTACGGCTTGACATTGAGGTTAATGTCAAGGATACTTTCAGCTTTGAAGTTGTAGATGTAATTGAAAAAGATATTGTGTACCAAAACAAAGTTAAATGAAGGCCTTGGATTGAGAAGGTATTGAAGATAGGAAAAGGAGACGCTGCTTCTAATCTTTACGTCCAGATGTTAGACCCCGTCCGGAGTACAATTCGAGGTGAAGTAAGCCCTACCCAAGCTCGAACAATTTCGAAACTTCTCACTTTGACGAGCTGCTGGATTACATATTCCCAACGACAAATCAAGGAACGATGCCAAGGAAGCCAAGCTTTCCACCGCTACCGGCATCTACCGGGAACAGAAGCTTGATTTGGGCGCCAAGAAACCGGTTTTAGCCGCTAAGACGCGTCGTCCAATTTCAAGATTCATTCCTTGCCAGGCTTGCTTGTTTCACCCTTTCCACACCTTCATTAATCCTCTTAACCATCTCATCTCACCTCACCGCCATCATCCCCTCGCACCTCTCTCTCATCCCAACCAGATCAGCCGATACCCACCTTCGTTATCCCAAGCTCACAGCCTCTCGATACCTTCCTTACAGCCAACCACTCCCCGCCCAACCACAGCAAAAATGTCGCAGAATTTCAAAACCATCGATCTCCAACCGCAGCCCGAGAAGCCAATGGGTGCGCATCTGCGCGATGGCGACTCCAAGGATATCATCTCCGAGCAGCCTGTATGTGAACACTGCTTTCCTAAACAACCCTCGGTGTCCGTGCTGACGTGGCGTCTTCAGAGCTCCCGCAAGATGAGCATGCAAGCCGAGCCGCAGGTGTCGATGCGCGGTGGGGGTGTCATTGGCGACTGGTACGTGGCACGGCATTCCCAACTGTCATATCAGAGTCGGAGAGCGCGCTGCCTCCTCCCCTGCTCCTTCCCCAGCCAGTCATGCAGCGGAGTTGCAATATCCAGTCCTCAATTGCCCCGCATCTCCGCCCCGGCTGAACATCGCTGACTTCTCCCGCCCCCGTCTACAGTGTCGACGCCATCGTGTGCTTCGAGTGCTGCAAGGGATGCTGCGAATGCTGCTGCTAGACGCGATACCCACAGGCCAGAGCTGGCGTCCGCGTGCATGGAGCATGTGAAGAGTCGGGACATAACTGGCACGCTGGGTTTGGGAGGGCGGATGGCAAGCCGTAGCTGAAGCGTTCGGGGCATTCTAGGCTCGATCGGAGATATCCACTACATTCCAGAGTTCATCGGCCCGAGTGTCTGGCGCAGCTCTGCCTGTAGCACAGTTCGTCTCTCTAGGCAAACCTCTCACTTGCTGTATGAGGATTCCGCGAACCGTTTGTGCCGGTGTACCATTGCGGCCAATTCCAGGCGGTGAAGACCGCCCAGCCAACAACATCCGTTGGCCTCTCCTAAGTCCGTCGCCGGACCTTTTCCGTTTCTAATGCGGTATCGTGTTCTCACTCGGACATTTTCTCGCCTCCCTAGCTCTGCGCTTTTCCACTCTTCAACAACCTATGAACTTTCAATATGTTCCTGCTCTGCAATCCATCTCCCCTTCACAAGATGTGCCTGCCGGACTCCCCGTCAGACCGACACCGTCTGCCCCTATATGCCCCTCCTAAAGCTGCAAGCCATCCATCACGGATGCCTTTCAATAATACCTATCATTGTTCCAGCCTGCATGCAAAACCTTGCCCCGTTCCCGATCCCCCCCCGCCCGCCGACGTAGCTCCCTGGCAAGCAAGATACCTACTAATGCTCCGTATCCCATCCCACCCCATCCCATCAACACACAAGACACCAAAAAGTGGGGACCTTCGTATCCGCACGCACGAAAAGCTTCTAACCCCTCCGTACCCCTCCCCATCATCCATTTTCCCGCCGCACGACGGAATGCCGTGGCCCGGACGCGGAAACAGGCGTCGCGATCTGAGACGTGTCGATTCTCTTACCTAAGATACGTACCTTTCCGATCACCTCACCTACACCTACCCAGCTTATGTAAAATACCTACCTAGGCGGAAAGAGCCGTGCGGGATCGTGAGTGCGCTACGGACGGAGATGTTTTTTTTTGCGCGTGGGCTGCGGGGGTGGGTCTGGATTCTAATGGTAGGTAGGTAGGTGCGGAGAGGGACTCCGGTCTGCATCGGAGATCCTGCGACGTGATCGATGGGATGGGGATGGAGGATGATTTGATTTGATTTGGTGTTTAGGGGCTGGGGAGGGGGGGGGTTGATATGTCATTCCATCGCGACTGCGGGGATGAAAGGGATGATATGTGATGAGAAAGTCTTGCATGGATATAGCTTGATGCGCGATCGTGTGTATGATATTCCGTCCGTCACGTGTTGACTATGTACCTACCTATCTGTGCTCCTTTCTTTACGGTAATAGCGGTGGGGATTCCTCGGGACGGAGGAGGCCGGAAGCCTGTTCTGTTCCTCAGCCTGATTTTGAGGGGCACAGATGGCTTATCCCATGCACTCACTGGCAGGGTTCGATGATCAAATCCCCACCGGGGCCTGAATGGAAAGTTGCGTGAATGGGAAAAAAGGTCCATCGTTTTTTTTGAATCCCACAGTGACTCAACGACGAGAACGCCCACGAGAAAAATATTCGATTTGGCAAATTATTCTTCTTCTTCTTGAAATCGAACAGATCTAAAAATGTGCACCTGAAAGTGTTCTCTATCGTAAAGGCCGTTTACCGATTCCCAAGCTACTTATCGTGTCATAGTGAAAAGAGCCACCTTTACCACTCAGCCAAGACATATCATCATCGAACCCACGGCAGGCGCCAGGACAGGATCGATGGGCTCCGGTACCGATCATGTTGGCTCGTAATCGTGTGCGGAAGCGGAGCGAGATAATTAGCCGATCATGCTGGACACTTTTACTTCCATCGCCGAGGATGACGCGGGCAGCTGGTACCAATTGTACAGACTTCGTAAGAGTACTGTAAGAGCGAATCGTCATCGTATGAAAAAGCATACATCATAAAGTAATCAATCAGGTCAGTCAATCAGTCAGTCAATCGGCAGCAAGCCACGTTTCGTTTCCCGCAAGCCCCTGACCCCTGACCCTGTTCCACGCCTCGTGGCGCGGTCATGGGTGCTTCAGCCGCGAATGCCCAATCCTCGAAAATCCTCCGATGCGAAAATCCTCCGATGACGCTCATGCATACCTTCAGGGAGAGAGAGGGGGATCGAGAGCAGGGGGGCCACGGAGTTTGACAAATGGACCCTGGGCCCCCATTTTTCCCATTTTTTTTAAATATTTTCGGTGGCTTGGGCTTTTCCTTTTTACAAATACTACTTTACACAATAGGTAGGAAAAATGCGGGTGATGATCTAGGTACTTTTAGATGGCAGTTGGACGAGGATCTGACCTCGGGAAGATAGGTACCTGGTATCGTTTGAGCTAACGGTTAGCGCGGAAGGCAATCGGAGATGAGAGATTGGGTGCGGTGAGGCTAATGCGGTGGCCGAGTCCCGTCTTTTTTTTTTGCTGCCTGCAGTAGTGTCTGTTTCATGGCTTGCACATCATCTCTCCTCTCTTGCTCCTCGATCCTTCTTTTCCTTGAAGTATGTATGTGGGTAAGGTATCCTGCGCGAGGCTTTGCACTCCCGAGGCGTGTGATTGATGGATCCCATCTGTCTCGCATCTGCGCTGGGTATTTCTGATAGGTGGCACACTCCTCGGAGGGATTCTCGAGGCCCCACGCCCAAGGTGCATCTGGAATTCCTCACGATGGGTGTTCTCTACTATCAACCCAACATACCGACGGTCCGTCATAGACCAGGAACGGCCGGCCGTGTTGGACTCGTTAGCTAGCCGAGGCTCCCGAGGTGATCGAGATGTATGGTAGCATTGGTTAAGGTATGTCTCCTTTTTTGTTAGCTAAAGCTTGTCTCACTCTTAACGAATCACATTTCAAATGCCGTCTAACAGCGCTCCCTGTCCCACCGCCTCCCAAATTTTAACCCTGGCTCGAATTATTTGCCTGGGAGAAAAGAGGGTGTGAGACACCGGAGCTAGGCGAAAGTGCCTCCACGCTACCATAGCGCCCCCAGGGCAGTTAAGGTGAAGGCGTGTGCACGATGCTAGCCGGATGCGAGTAAGATCACGCCATGCCATGTGTTTTGGGGTACCTTGCATATAGCGTCCAAAGTTTCGTATCGGATAGCTTCCCTCCAAACGATTCGTTGCAACTGGCACTACTGGTCACCCTTTTTTTTCATCCTTTTTACCCTTTGACTTTGACCAATAGGATCTTGGGGAGCGGGGTGAGCCTCCTCTTCGGCTGACTTTAACTTTGATCATCTTTCCCACTCTTCCACTTCTTGCATCCTTAGTGCATTTCCCCACTCTAAATATCCCGTCTTACTTTACTTTTATCGAATGGTACCTTTCTTTCATCCTTCCCTAATGGACACACCTCCGATCAATCACACCCATTATTATTATTATCATCTCGCGCCCGGCTGTCTTGTCACAATTGTGACTCCTTTCTCGTCGTTTGAGGTGGAATCTTGAATGTCATCGACGTGAGAGTATGCGACTGAGGCTGTATCTCGAGTCCTGTTCACCTGCCATTCCCTAACAATCACTTCTTCCATCCCACCCATAATCCTTCTTCTCCGAATCGACCCTCACCTTTCAGAGCTGCTGGTCTTCCGTCACTTCGGTCTTTCGTCTGATTCGTCGGAGTAAAACGGTGAAGATTGGCTTCACACACACACCACGAGCACACGACGATCGATGAGTGTATACAGGAATAATTAGCAGCACCGGAGACCGGTCTCCTCGTTCGGCAGCATTAATAATCGCGTCAGTCACATCGTCACAATGGTGTACCTCAACCCAGGCGGATTCGACTTCGGATCGGAGAATCTGGACGGCTATGGCATTTCCAACATCGTCTTCATCGTCATATACTCGCTCTTCTTCTACTCCGCATGCTTCTTCACCTGGATGTACCGCAAGCATCCCGTTCTCCGAATGCGCAACGTTCCCCTCATGCTCTTGTCCCTGCTCACCATGCATGTCTTCACCTTTGCCGTCATGATCGTCTACACAATGAACGGTGCCTTCCCGTGCCAGGTCGAGTACTGGTGCATGTGCTTGTACTTGCCCATCGGCATCGGCTTGTACCAGGCCTACAACCAGCAATTGCTCATCGTCAGTCGTGGCCAGGCGGCGTTGATCACAAAGGATGAGCTGTTCAAGCCGATATTTCCAAAGGGAAAGGGATTTGGCGGTCCCAAGTATTGGGCTTTTCGCTTCAAGGTTTGGTGGCAGGGAGTCAGCTCAAAGGGGAAATACGAGGGGTTCGTGTTGATTGGCATCGTCATCCAGGTAGGCGCTGCTAACGTTTGACCATCACCATCGCTAACACATGGTCCTCCAGTTCACCGTGTCTTTCATCATCTATAACATCTCGCGCAAATTCAACCACTACGGCATTGTCGACCATCATACATCTCCAGGCTTATGTCGGCGAGGGTGGGAATGGTAAGTCTGATCAGAGTGCGCTGGTTGCGAATCCACTAACAATGCGGAAGGGTTCCAACCGTAGTATGGCAATTTGCGTGGAATTATATTTTCGGTCCGTATCTGCTCTGGAATATTCGCATGATCAAAGACATCTACCATTGGCGGCTACAAACCACGCTTGCCATAATCGCTGGGTATGCTGGTCTGGTCCTCAACGAAGAAAGGAGGCTGACCGCAATAGGCTTCCTGGAGCTCCCATATGGCTGGCAGCTGTATACAGCGACAAATTCGCGCCAGTCAACAAATACTGGCTCCCTGCAATGTGGTCCGTGACCCTCCAACCGCATGAGAAGCAGCCATGATCGCTAACCGACCTTTTTCAAGGCTCATTCCCGGCCTCATGACCATCGAAATCGTCACCCTCGGTTTCCCCATCTACGCCATCTACAAGAACAAAAAAGGCCGCCCGCGAAGTCAACAACGCCCTCGCAGACTTCGACCAGAAGCACCTCCAATCCTTCGACGAGGGCACCACGCTCGGCGGCTCCGAACACTCCCTGAAAACCAAGGGTTCCTCCAGAGGCTCCAGCAAGAAAGGGAAAATGTACCCCATGGAATCCCTCGACGCCTGCCTGGCCGGCAACCACGACGGCCTCCAGGTCTACGCCTCCTGCATGGAGCTCAACGGCGAGAACATCATCTTCCTCACCAAAGTCATCGCCTTCACCCAGCAGTGCCAGCGCGCCTTCGCCGACGCCTGCCGCTCCACCGCCGAGTTCCGCCGAGCCCGCACCGCCATGTTCCGCGCCGGCCTCAGCATCTTCGTCTCCCTCGTCCACGCCGGCACCGCCTCCTACCCCATCAACATCGAATCCCACATCTACGCCCGCCTCGACGCCGTCTTCGGCCCCGCCACCGCCCTCGTCGCCTCGGCCAAACAGTCCCGGTCGCCCAGCATCGCGTCCCCCAACTCCAAGGTCACCCCCTGGGACGACCCCGCCGACACCTCCTCCGCCGCCAGCACCACCGCCGACCACGACGACGGCCCCACCAACAAGAACAACAACAACGACAACAACAACAACAACAACAGCAACACCGCCGCCACCGGTGTGTACTTCGACACCGTCGCCGATAACGACGCCATCGCCGAAAACTCCTACCCCATGCGCCCCATGGGCAAAGGCTCGCGCAACGAGAGCAGGGAGCACATCGTGCACGTGCGCGAAAACGAAGTCGGCGCCAACCCACGCGGCGGCGACGGCGACGGCGACCCGCTCGAGGGCGTCGCCGTGCCGGGCGAGTTCGACGAGCGCGTCTTCGACGCCGCCTTCAAGAGCGTGCGGTTCATGGTCTGGACGGAGACGTGGCAGCGCTACATGCACTGGAAGCGGAGGGAGGGCAGCGTGGTGGGGGATTAGAGCCGGGGGGGGTGGGGAGGGGGGTGTTGGATTCTGGTACATATTATTTTTGGGGGATGGATTTTGTGTGGTTGGGGTTGTGGGGGTAAGCGTGCGTTCGTGCTGGACTTGGCTCTACTCTACCGGTAGAGAAGGGGGAATTTCTTGCGATTGCGATTGCATCATCTCTCGATGTGCGGTGGGGTGTTATGGGCGGAGAGAGGGGAAGGAAAAAAGTATAATAGATCAGATCAGATCAGATTCAATTCAATATATAAATAAATAAGTAAATCAATAAATAACATTCGGATTCAGAACCCGTCTGCCCGCTCGTCGGCAATGTATGCAGAGGTGGTGGTTGTGTACAAGATAATCCCCAGTCCCAAGCCGGCTCTTGACCTGTCCATCCACTCGGCTGTGAATCATCAGTCAAAGAAAACCGATCTAAAAACAACCCAAAAAATCCCAAAAAGCTCCCGACTCCAATCTCATCTCTAGATAGCAAAAGTATCAACCTCACCTCCCTCCCTCCCTCCATCCATGCCCTTCCGACGAAATCCCCCGTCCATCGTAGAGCCAACACCCTTCCCCCATCGCCCACCTGCCACCAAACTCACCACCCATCCATCCATCCATCCATCATCCACCATCCACACCATCCATCCATCCATCATCCATCGCCACCTTCCATCACACCAAACTCATCCATCCATCACATCCATCCACACATCCACCGATCCATAAAACACCAGATACCGAACAGTACCCTAACCACCACCTCAACCCCCACCTTAACAACCCTTGTTACGCTATGAAACGACACGATAGCAACGCAACGACGCCAACACACGCGCCGCCGCCGTGGATACGATAGGATGGTATACCGTTCTACCGATGGCATTCACTCACTCACTCACTCACTCACTCACTCACTCACTCACTCACCCACTCACGCCATCGGTAGCGATTAACGAGAGAGAGGGTGTGTGTGTGTGTGGATGTGGATGTGGATGTGGATTACGCTACTTAGTCAGTTACTTCCTTACTTACTGACTCACTGATTAAGATTAAGATTATCCAGGGGGCGAAGAAAGCGGAATAGGATCGAACGGAACAAAAGCCAGTACTCACATACACCTCCTCTAGACCACCGTGTCCCAGCGCATTATACATCCCCTTCGCAAGCAGAGGCGGACCGGACCGGACCGGACCGGGCGATGAGGAGGAAGGAGGGGGGAGGGGGAGGGAGGGGGGAAGGGAAGATGAGGGAGGAGAGGGCAATTTCAGCACGCGCGTGGAATTCGATAAGATACACATTCGCGCCTTCCCCCGTTTTCAACCATCGTATGCGTATGCGTCGTATGCGTCGTATGCGTCCCAGCGTCCCAGCGTCCCAGCGTCCAATCCACCCAATCACCCTCGTCAGTACTCTTTCTTTCTTTCTTTCTTATCGGAATAAACAAAACGAACGAATGAACAAACGAACGAACGAACGAACGAGCGAGTTATGAAAACCCCCCCGCCCCCGGCAGATCGGATCGTTCGTTTTTGGAATTCGGGCTGGGGGAAGAAAGAAACGAGCTGATGCGTTTGCGAGGACGTACGTACGTAGTCCATGGGGTGAGGTTGATGGTGTACGCCCGTGGGTGGGGAAGGTGGGGAAGGTGGGTAGAGGTGGGGAAGGTGGGTAAGGTGGGGAAAAAGGTGGGTAAGGTGGGGTAGGGAAGATGGGAGGGAGGGAGGGAGAGAGGAGGGGAGGGAGGGAGGGAGGGAGGGAGGAGGGAGGGAGAGAGGGAGGGAGAGGGAGGGGAGGGGGGAGAGGAGGGAGAGAGGGAGAGGGAGATGGCTCGGTGGGTTTGACTGACTTACTTACTTACTGAATTACTTACGTTTGCGCTCTTCTGTCCTGTCCTATCCTGTCCTGTTTCTATCCTGTTTCCATGGCCGGCTGGCTGGGCATGGATGCGCTCGGGGTGTGAGAAGCTTCTTTATGCTGTATTTGTCCATCCGTATTGTACTGTAGCCTACTGCAAGCATGGCACGATTGATTGAGTAGTGAGTGAGTGAGTGAGTGAGTGAGTGAGTTGGAGTCGTTGATCTGAAGCCGGCGGTGGAGAATGGGTGATAGCGGATCTACAATTTTTAGGACCGGAGAGGCGGGATTTATCGGCGGGATGATGATGATGATGGGTACGGGGGATGGGGGGTTCGAGGTTCGAGGTTGAGAGGTTTAGGTGTTGAGGGTTGAGATTGAGGGGTTAGGGAGGTTGAGAGGTTTAGGTGTTGAGGGTTGAGATGGGGGGGGGGATGTGGATGGGACCGGACTGGACTAAAGTGTAGAGTTGGGTTTTTCGGTGTTGGGGAGGTTCAAGGTATATATATAGATATTTAAGGAAGATTGTGGAGGATGGGGGATGGAGGTTTGGACAAGGTGATTGCTGAGGTGAATCTTCTATTTCCCGTCTCATATGAGAGGGAGGGCTGTCTTAAATCAGTGGTATGGATATATCCGTGTGGAATGCTGAGTAGCGTGAGCGACTGTTGCAAAACCTTGAACAACTTGGGCATCGTGAATACAGCCAATGCTGAGAACACGTTCTTGCAATGGGATTCCATATCGTATAGAACGGCGATGATCACTCAACTGCGAGAAGAGCTCGACAAGAGGGTAAGTGATGACTATGTTTTTGCTTCCGTCCCTAAGAACGGATTGTTGAACAGATCGGCTGGGCTTCGAGAACGACGGTGCGGAATGGCATGAGACATTCTCCTCCGTCTGGACACTGAGACTTTGATTAAAAGTCACGCAAATTGCGCCTGACCAGTCCGGTGACATGAGTGGGCTTTCCTCGCTTCTCTGCTTCGTTGATCACCAGGCTGGGATATGGAAAAACGGAGCCTGATATTTTCGATGGCGGTGTGAGAAGATCTAATCTTCGTTTCGGATTTCAGCACCAAGGAATGGGGGAATTTGAGATGGCTGAGGAAGATGGGGATATGGCGAATACATTGATGACATTGATCTGTCTAAGAGTCGTTTTTCTTCTTGCAAAGAGCACTATTTAACGGGTCTCACTCTCCTACCCATCATTTATACGTACCTAAGCTGGGATGTCCTTCCCTATCTCACATTCTCTTCCCCACCAATCCCCAGTCTACCTCCCAAACATCTAAAAGCCTCCTACCACCACCATTCCCAAGTATAATCTTCAGGTACCCACGGCTCACCAAAACATCCGTAACACGTGCCCATGTCACATTGATTGACTATTTCTCTTCACCCCAAAAAAGCGCTCCCTGATAGACATCATCACCCCTTTGTACTTTGGTCCATGGAGAATCCGCCGCCCTGCTTCGAGCCCTCGTGTACCCGCGAAGCGATTTCCGATCGCGGAAAGCCGCGTGGAGCTAGCAGGTCGGTCGCTGAGCGCTTGATATCACCATCTTCGGTGCCGGTCGGCTTCAAGGGTTGAGACTTTCGTGGGAGTTTGAGGCTTGGAGCGGATCAAGGCGTAGAAAAAGGGGCCGGCTTGACTCGAAGTTGTGATTTGAAGTCCCTAAGTGATATGGGTAATCAATTTTGATGGGTAATCTTACTTGTTCCTCGTTCGAACCACCACCTCTCATGCAATCAATTTTCTTGTTCAAATCAAAAATCGAAATACAGAGCTACCACTTCTGATACCCTTGAAAATGACAGCATCGACGGACCCTCCTGCTCCGGGCTCTTCATTCCCTCGCAGAGATCAGCAAAGCATCATCAACAATGATATCGAATCACAACTAGAAGAAATCGAGCAGACACCACTCCCACCGACCGACCGAGGAAAAGCGGCATGGCTGGTCCTCGCCGGATGTTCCATCATCCAAGCGCCAGTCTGGGGTACGCAATGGAGATTGAACACGGCGGGCTAACAATCCCGTCATGTACTAATCTCAGCGAGCAAGATTTTCTCTCGGTTTCGGCGTCTTCCAGGAATATTACATGAGGCTGCCGGATCTCAAAGGTGACAGGGCCAGTATCGCTAGCATTGGCACCCTCCGTATGCATCTCCAATGTCACAGAAAAACCTACAAATTGAAAGCAGTCGGTCATGGACGATGGTAACTCACGAGTATATCCGTACCGCAGGGGATCCTGTACCTTTCCCCCCCCCTAACCTTCACCCTTTTAACGCGATACCCCCTTCTCCGCCCCTTCTTCGGGCCCCTCGGCCTCTTCGTCTCCACCATCGCTCTCATCCTCTCATCCTTCGCCACCTCCACATGGCAGCTCAAAGTCACCCAAGGCGTCATCTGCGCCCTCGGCAGTGGATTTCTGTAGAGTCCGACAACACTTTATCTCGACGAGTGGTGGATTCGACGAAAAGGGCTGGCGTACGGAGTCATGTTGGGGAGTAAGAGCGCCGCGGGTGTGGGATTGCCGTTCGTGATGCGATTCTTGCTGGACAGATATGGGTTTCGAACCACGATAAGAGCGTGGGCTGTCGCTTCCGTGCGTCTTCCGGCAATGCTCCCGTTTCACTCACATCCATACATACATTCACCTCTTTTCTAGATCGATCAGAAACGCTAACGATCCAACCACCCAGCTCGCCCTCACCGCCCCCCTCCTCTACTTCCTCCGCCCTCGCATCCCACCGCCAAGCTCAACCTCCCCACAGCGGCTTTCGTTGTCCTTTTTGAAACTCCAGTCCTTCTGGATGCTGCAACCGGGCAACATACTCCAATCCCTCGGCCACTCCCTCCCGACCACCTACCTCGCCCCCTACGCCCGCGCCATCGGCCTCGACGCCACGACCGGCACCCTCATGATCGCCCTGCTCAACGCGACCAGCGTGCCCGGCAGCGTCCTGATCGGCATGCTGGGCGACCGCTTTCACGTCACCACCGTCGTCCTCGTCTGTACCCTCGGCTCCGCCCTCGCCACGCTCGTCTTCTGCGACCGGGTCGCCCTCCTGGCCGTCTTCGCCATCCTGTACGGCTTCTTCGCCGGCGGCAACAGCGCTATGTGGTCCGGGGTGCTCATGTGCGTCAAGGAGGAGACGTCGGCGCTCGAAACGGGGCTCGTGTTTGGACTGCTGGCTGGGGGGAGGTCGGGGAGTGTGGTCAGTGGGCCGTTGAGTACCGCGCGCGCTTGTGCGGGGTGGTTGGGTTGGTCCCTTGTGAATGGGGATTGGCGGGCGGAGCGGGGGTTAGGCAGATGGGCTATGAGACGCAGTATGGATGGTTGATTGTCTTTACCGGCATCACTGCGCTGTTAGGGGGGTGGGGGTGGGGGTGGAGAATGGTGAAGAGGTTTGTTTGAGAGGGATGGGCATCGTGCGGTAGAGGTTTTGTTGGTGTCTTTTCTTTTTGTGATTAATTTTGCAAAGCTCGATGGTGAGCGCTGGGCCGAAAGTCAGTTGAAGAAAAACTATAGAATTCGTTGCATTGCAAGTGCTGGTTAAATATAGAATGTGTTTCACGTGATCAAGGTTTAAGCGCAGCAATCGGAATGCGGCGGAATGAAACCTCCGATGACCGCGAAGGCGGAACTGAGGGTTACTTAGCTGTGCAACATGCTCGTGATAAGGAAGGGATGAGAGGATAGAATAGTGCACAGCACAGTCGAATGCGTCGCTACGAGAGTTTCGAGGTGACGATAGGACTAAGAGAGGATGGGCGTCTGATGGACAAGGCAAGAGCAAGGGCGAAGGGTTATACAATTGATTTGGGTGGAAGCTTACGACGAATTGGCACTATCCCTACATACAAGTCAGACATATCAGTCACCTAATTTTCCCTACTAGACAGGTCCACAACAAGCCGTGGATACGCAAGCGCAAGGTATGACTGGACAAGAATGATATCATACCGCTCGCCCTAATGTCGAGATGACTCACTGCAACCGTGCCGATATATAAAACCAGCCCCAACACCCCATCCAGCAAAGCCCACTCCCACCCACAACCTCTGAATCGCAGACTCTCCACGCCCGCCCACAATGGCATTCACCCTCCAACCCGTCGGACCCGCAGATGTCTCAGACATCACGCGAATCTTCCAATCCGCATTCGCAAACGACCACATAATGAGTCATTTCCACCCCCGCACCCCCGACCGCCTGAAGTGGGACCAAGATTTCCAATTCTTCTCCACGCAGATCGCAGAGAGCGCAGCATACGGCGGCCGTCTCACGAAAGTTGTCGAGGAAAGTTCCGGGTTAGTAAAACCCACTCCCTCTTCCCTGCCCCTACTATCCACACGCACATTAGACACACGAATGAAGCTTGTCGAGGACATTCTCTATGATTCTTCTCTGTTGTCAGATGAATATCTAATTTTCTTCCGGTTTAGCAAAACGGTCGCCTTCTCGAAGTGGGATTATCCTCACGCGCTTACGGCGGAGCAACGGGCGGAGAAGAAGCGGAAGGCGATGGAGGATAGGCTGAAGAAGGTGGTAGAGGGGAGTAATGAGGGGTTGATGAAGGATTTTTTCACGCAATTGATTGCGGGAAGGGAGAGGTGGCTTGTGCCGGAGAAGACGTTTTGTAAGTTACTTTTACTTTTTTCTTGCCTGACTCCGATCTATTGGTGCAATCTGCGCCCATACCTTGATGCAGCAATTTCCATAGCTCTGTTACACCTACTCCTAAGCCGGATGGCTAGCACTCGGAGCCAAAGGACCATCTGAACCAAGCACGGCGCTAGATTGCATTGGACTCACCTCGTTACTCCACCATATGCTCACGTCCACCAGTCCTCCACATCCTCGCCGTCGACCCCGCCTACCAGCGCCGGGGTCTGGGCTCCATGCTCATCCGTCCGGGTCTCGAAGATGCGGACAAAGCCGGCGCACAGACCTACATTGAAGCCTCGCCTGATGGATTGCCGCTGTATCTGAAACATGGATGGGAGCCGGTGGATAAGATGGTGATTGATATGGGAAAGCATGGAGCGGGCAGTGGGGTGGAGGTTATGCCGTTTTTGATGAGGGAGGCGAACGCACCGAACAAAGTTGGGAAGAAGATTGATCTATGAGATTGGGGAGAGGTTGGATAGTCGATATTCTGATCTGCAAATATGCTTGGCCCCAGTAATGGCTCACGGTCATCCTGTCTAGCATGCAAACTCCTATTATGATCCCCCAATGAGGCCGAGATCCTTCCATTTGCAGCTAAATACTTCCTCTGAAGATTTCATACAACAAGCATAATGTATCTCCTACAGCGGAAGACGAACTCAGCCTGGCAGGTCGACCCTCTAAACTCTCACCCTCCATAACATCAGTCTTAAATCTAGCCATCCGCTCAACATGACCCCCAACAGCGAATCCAGCCTGATCTTGAACTCCTCCCCCATCGCACCTCAGCATAGCTACGGAGGCAATAGTATTTCGCCGCCATTCCCTTAGGTCACGGTTCAAGCCGTCCTCCACATGCTCCTCGATCCATCCCTTGAACCAGGGAACCCCCCTCCCTCCCAACCAACCGCCCAGCCTTCCCCTTTCCACACTCGTGCCGTCCTCCCCCCAAAACCACACGAACATCCCTACGATCTCGACTCTCTTTCCTCCAAAAACTAGGCCGAGGCATAAACAGCAGACTCAAGCCAGCAATACCGTGCCGCCATCATGTCCAAAGCGTGCGTAGACTTCATTCGTTGATGACTAGAGTTACGCGGAGGAAGGCCGTTGTGCCAGGAAGACAGTCTGCGCGCATCGGACTGATGATCAACCGTGCGTTCTCGACTCTTGCGGTGGCGTCGTCGACTGCGGAGGAGATGGCTATGGTCCAGTCAGCATTGTTGCAGGCGAGCGCTTTCGCGGCTGAGAATCGAGAGATGTCTTTCGGGATATCTTTGATGCGATGGTGTTGATAAGCGATGGTATGGTTGCAGAGTATAAGACAAGATAACTCTTTTGTCCTTGGCGTCTGGGAATGTTAAATCTGGGAAAGGTATGATAACGCCTTCTGCCAGGCTGCTCTCTGTCAAAGACATGCCAAGTATTGCCACTGGGCGATATTTCCCGCGCGGTACAAGGCCCGGTCGTCTTTTGGACGCTTTGCAAGAATGTTTGTTGCGCGTTCCAGCCACTCTTCTGGCACGTTGCACCACACCGAGCACTTGTGAGTGAGTTTCTGACTTCGCAGGGGGTTTCCATGATGCTTCATTATGTGTGAAATGTCGAATGAGAGGGAAGTCAGTGTCCGCTTCCGAAGATGCGTTGAGGCTTTCGATTGCTCGAATCGGTCGTTGTATGAGAAGATGATGTTGACGGCCTGAAGATAGGTGTGGGTCTGGGCTACTTGAATGGATCGCAAATGCAAGTGTGATGAGGAATTGAAAGGTCTTGCTAAGAAGGGAGGAAGTTTTGAGTGAACAGACTCTTAAAAGAAGTGGGCCCTTACGTAAGGATTCACGTCAAGGCTTTGGGCAGGGAGTTGTGAAAAGGAGTCGTTGCTAGAACGTTATGAGTGGATGAACCACACTGGACCCGTGGCCCCCTTTCGGGCTGTCAAGGTACTTTCCCTTCTTGTAGATATACCAGCCGCTTAGATATGATGATGTATCAAGAAGTGAGACCATCTCTTTGCCGCATGTTATCTCTCCTTACATACCGTAACAACTGATACCAATCAGCCTTCTCCTTGCCCCTCCAAGTCCTTCCCGTCAGGCGTTGAGTGAGGGATCCGTAGATCGCAGCCAGTAGTGCGGCGGTGAATAATACAAAAGTCACAGGAGCACCAACAGCCCAGAAAAAAGTCCGCCGGGAATCGGTGATATCCATACCTAGATACAGAATTACAAAACATGACGAAGAAAGATGATGAAGGTCGCAACGGTGAGTATCACGATAGCCTTATCATTTAAAACTGGTTTTAGCAACCTGGACTCCACGACCAAAACATGTGAAATCTCTGCGTGGATCTGAAGCTCGTCGAAGTCATTGATGCGCGCTGCTCGATGCTTTCAAGCATACGATCGAAGTACCTCATTCCGCCTTCGCTTGCTGCTGATGAATGTCAATCTTTGTTAGTATTGGATCCGGTATGGCCACTGGGAATAACCCAACTGCTTACTCTGGGACCCACTGACCCCCAGTCCCACTGTGGCGAGGTTCGGTAGCGGAGATTCCTGCTACCATCTCCGGGGTGCACGCCCGTTTGGATACTTCCAATCGAAGTACAAACCTCGGTGAGTCACCGGCTTGTACCCCCAAGGACTCAGTCATCCTAGGAGCCAATCAGTTTATGAATATACAAAGGCGAGCATAACGTGCCATGCTCCCCAGGCGTATTTTGTAAAGGACACTCCAGTATTCTGACACGACTATAGCATCGCAGTTTCGTGGAAATTAATAATGCAAGATCCTGCTAGCTGACACGAGAGTGTTTAGCTTTGTTGATGGTTTTGATTAGCGAGACGCTATGTCCGATACTTCGTGGAGACTGTTCCCAGCGGTCTCATACAGAGTCGCATATTGCGACGATCCTGTTCTGCCTTTCCTCAAAACTAACATGGATTCCTTCTATTACACCGTAAAGAACCAACTTCTCCCATTTCGACAACCTCGCCACCTCATCATTCTCTTCGGCTGGGGCGTAAGGAGATGACATGGAGACTTTTGCATGTTGCCTGTCGGCCTTTGTCGCTGCAATTTGGAGACTGTCGATGTGCTAGAACTTCTCCTCTGTCGACCATGTGAATATCGGCGTATTTTGGATCTCTTCTACAGCAGCCAGCGCTATGGGCGAGTCCATATCGCGCTTGAGCACCGTTGCTACCTCTTCCAGGTTCCCGACCCTCCTAGCTTGAGGTCATCCTTACGAGACTTTCTTACGAAGGTGGCTTCCCTCCTTCCACTGGGCAGCGTACTTTTTCGAAAGTCTCTGGCGACGGGAGACTTTTGTGACACTGTCATGGCGCACACGTGTGGTTTTCGTGGGCGCTCTGAAAGGGTTGTCTGGCTTCGAGATGGGCCAAACCCAGGTGGAGAGTACTCATGATTCCCGTCAAGTCCTGTCCGAGAGCTCGACCCTGAGCTCAATCAGGACCTTGGACTAAGTGGAGAAATCTGCAGAGATGATTCGTATACTGGGGCTACTTCCTCTGAGATTGCAGGATGACCTTTTATAAATGACCAGATCTGCCTCAATTGCTCCCAGATCCGAGCTAGGCTAGCATGTGCAGGGAGCTCAGTGCGAGGAACAGGATCGGGCCCGGCAAAATAGAGCTCGGAGGGTGCGTAAAACGGCCACCGTCGATCCAGATTCTAGACTAGCGTGACCTCCCATATCCTACACGTATGTTGTATGCTTGGCCTTCTTGGCATCGTCTCTCAAAGCTGCCAATTCGCCCGCTCTTCTCCCCCCTTCAAAAATTTCACAACCCTAACCAACAAATCCCCCCCCCTAAGGGCTAAATTTTCTTTCCCCCCCACTTTTTTTCCCCCCCCCCAACCCCCAAAAAAAAAAAAAACCCCGTTTTTCCTCCCCCGCCGCCATTTAAAAAAAAAAAACGGCCCCTTCCCCAACACCCCCTAAAAAAAAAAAAAAAAAAAAAAAACAAAAAAAAAAAAAAAATCTTTTTTTACATACAAAAAAAAAAAAAAAAAAAAAAAACAAACAAACAAAAAAAACAAAAAAAATCCCCCCCCCACAAACACCAACCCTTCTTTACCTCTCACCCCACAGAAACCCCCCCACAAAAAAAAAAAAAAAAAAAAAAAAAAAACAAAATACAAATAACAAAAAATAGCCTTCCTCACCCACCCCCAACCCCAAACAACCCACACCCCCCCCCCCCCACAAACCCCCCTCCTCCAACCATCTTCACTAGTCCAGAAGTTGGCTCTTGGGATACTGGATATTGCATCTAAAGCCATAGTCTCATCGTTGATGTATCTCGATCGATGAAGAATCTCTGCATCATTGCCAAACCTGCAAGTGGCTGCAAACTTTTGGGCAACAAAGCCTTCAATGCTTTCACACGCTTGACCAGCGCCTCACGAGTTCTGTCATGGTCATGGTCGCCAGTTGATCTGCTTTTGACCTTGCCAGAACCCTCCGTGGACTTTTCTGACTTCCTGCACCACCTGGCCAAGTCCTCCAGATCCTTCACCGCAGCGTTCAATCCGTTTTAGCCTCCATCCCTGCTGTCGACCACTATGGCCTCCGCGACTACTTTCACACTTCTTAGAGGCTTAGGCCTCACCACATTGTTCACCTGACCTTTTGACAATGCTTCGAGGTCCAATGTTCGGTTTTCACGGTTTGGAACCTCCAGGTGGTTCAAGAGCTTGGTTTCACTGAGGCAAAGCTTAGCATTTTCCAGCAGTGCAGCATAGCCATCCTCAAGTTCCTGCAGCGGCGCGGCTAGAGGTGATTGTGAAGAGACTCGGTCGCCTTATTGGAGGTTGAGCGCTCTGCCGTTGGTGATCTGTAGCCTCTCCATGCTTTTCTTTGGACTTGATGTCGTCTTTGGATGACTTCGCTTTCCCGTTCCTGTTCCCGGCTTCATCGCACCCTCGCAGGCTCACCTTGGGATGATGCTCTAAATGTTTCTGGGCTTCTTTGGCGGTGCGATCAAATTACAAGACTCGGTGCGCTTCCTTCTTTGCCGCATCATGCCACCCACACATGGCATGATGCTGCATTAGCAAGATACGAGCCTCTTGACCCAGCGGGCTCCGCTCGAGATTTTCAAATAATTCGCTAATGAGTGCTAGGTCTGGTGCTGGAGATGACCCACCTTCACTATATACCATATATCTTCACTTTCAACGCTTTCAAAATCAGAAGCCGAACTAGAACCGTACCATTGCCCTGGCAACTTGAGAGATGTCTTTCTTGCCATTTGAAGGGATGCCCAGGAAGAGTTTATTCACGGGCCAATATATCATTCCTGATCCCTTAGTAGGGATTATTGAGGTGACAAATTACGTGATTGATGGGGTAGCGATGGCAGGACGAGGACGCTCCACCTGCCCAATGTCAAGTGTCTGATTGGCGTTATTTATCTGTCTTCCAGGACCAGGT